TCTAGATTAATCAAAATTATCTTCTTCGGGACTGATTGCACTTGTTCGGAAGTCTTCTTTGATTTGAGATTCTTGTCCAAGAACCTAGGCGGAAAACCGTTTCCCATTAAGGTTCGTCTGGGATTACGCAATTCTTCGTCAATCAGTTCCTCGTTGCATATCTTCTGAATCCTCGATGAAAGAGCGCATATACGTTTCCTCTTTCTGCTTAGGGTCACGAGGCTTTGAAAGTTGATAAACTGTCCATTCCATGTGAGCTTTTTGTATATGAACCTTTCCAGAGAGTCTTCGGCGTTTCTTATCAGATGGATTCAGATTCAAGAGTAAAGTCAATATTTTGGTGGGTATTGTTGAAGTTTTGAAGCGTTTTCAATGTCCAGGTTCTCATCACAAATGAGGAAAGTATCATAAACGTATCTCTTGTAAACATGTAGGTCAGTAATAGTCGATGACAAGAAGTTGTTTTCGAGGCTGGTCATAAAACAGTCAGCCAATAGGGGTCCCATTGGAGAGCCCATTGCTACGCCATCTGTTTGTCTGTAGATTTCATCGTTGAATGTGAATTAAACGTTGAAGGTACATGGTAGTAACAGCACCTTTAGACAGTGGATCAGTATGCCGACATCTATAGTTTCTACTAGTGGAACACTGGTGAAGAGAGAGACGACGTCTAGGGAGACCACTTTTTCATTTGCGAGGTTGACATTTTTAATTGAATCAACGAAATCGAATGTGTCGCGGAGGTTGTATCTCGACAGCTTTTCTTTCACTGGTCCAAGAATTTCTACCAGGCTTTCTGCGATTAGGTGATATGGCGAATTATTCATATATTTTTTATCCAAACATCCTGTCTATTTTTGTTATTTCTACATTTGTAACCCCTAATTGTACAATCAATGTCAATCTTCTCAGTAATTCTGATGCTACTTTTTTGAGTTTCATCCGTCCCACCCCCTGTTTATTAAGGCATTTTAATTCCTAATTGTAATTAAAGCCGTACAAAGTTTACAATGTGTGACCAGGAACACCTTTCAACGCCGATCACCGCAATTACATTGTCAAGTAAAAGACACAGAGAACAAAGACGGAGAGTTCTCAAAACCAAGCTGGCCAAGATTAGAAAACAACAACCAGAAAATGAACCTATTGACTGCGCAGTCAACCTGTCAAAACAACCACTATCAAAAAATAGAACAACAACCACTACGAAAAGGATTAAACTACAACACCGGAGATGCTTCGAAAACTGATTTCTTCGCTGCCCTTGAATCATTACTCAGATCATTAAACTTAAAGGAGGAAACACAGGAAGAGATACGCCAAACAATTGTACCAATGGTAAAACAGAAAAAACAACACAAACAACTCAACTCTCAAGAACTAAAGGCCCTCAAAAAGCTGAAAAATAGGAAGGACATCGTCATTCTACCAGTCGACAAAGGAAGAACAACGGTAGTCATGGACAGAGAACAATACACCAAGAAAGCTGAAGAACCACTCAAAGACGGGGATGTATATCAACAACTCCCAACAAACCCCATACAAAGATTGGGCAACTGCATCCAAAGAACCTTAAACAAGCTCGTCAAAAGTGGTCAGATCACAAAACAAGACCAATGGCGAATGAAATCCAATGAACCAGTCCTACCCCGAATCTATGGCAGACCCGAAATACACAGGCTAAATATCTCGTTACGACCAATTGTATCACTCCCAGGAACTCCAACATACAATTTATCCAAAGAACTATACAGAAAATTGAAACACTCAACTGAATCTTGTGATCACTCCATCACTTCTGCTATCCAATTTCTAGGGAAAATCAGAGGCATCCAAATAGATGACCAAGAAATAATGATAGCCTTCGACGTCACAGCAGAGGTCCAGGACTCATTGCAGCACTCCCACCTTAGGGAAAATTGAGGAAAGATGTCTCATGGACGTCTTCCAAAAAAATGGATATCCATGGAAAATCATCAAAAGATATATATATCCTCAAGCCAACCGACCAAACCAAAGGCCCCCAAGGAAAGCACAAAGAAAATCGCCCTACCATATATAAAGCACATATCAGAAATCACTGCAAGACTCTTCAAACCTTTAGGAATTGACGTCGTACAAAAACCAAAAAAATCACTTCACTCAATTCTATGTCAACCAAAAGGTAGACTCAACAACGAAAGAAGATAAAACCAGCATCATCTAAAAAATAAATTGTAGCAACTTCGAAAAACACTACATTGGCCAAAGTGGACGTCCCATTCGTCTTCGTATCCATGAACATGAGCTAGCCGTCAAAAGACATGACATCCACTCCCTCATATCACTTCATACAGACAACCACGGACATCAGTTCCACTGGGACAACGTTCAAATATTAGACAAACGAAACATCATGAATGCTAGAGAATTTTTAGAAGCCTGGCACTCCAGTGAATCATCAATCAGTCGACACATCGAGATAGACAAAACTTACCAACCGATATGAAGGATTAATAGACCAGTAGTCAGCGAAGAGTCTCTTTTCGGTGAATTCATCTTCATAGCTGTACAGTCGCAAATACATATGGTTGTTTTGTATGTGAGTGTACATTAAATTTGTCAAACGAAAATACAGTTCGGAAGTTCAGATGAATTGGATGTTGATATAAGAGGGTAGTAACAAATGTGATGAGTTGTCACAAACGATTGTTAAAGAAGAGTTACGTAATAACGTGAATAGTTCGATGCAAGAGTTGCGCTCAGGGTGTACATGGAAACAAAATAACATACGGAATTAAGCCAGGGTTTTAAGTAGTTAGAAAAATAAGCATACTAACAAGAGTTTAGTCAAATCAATGATAAGAAGGAAACCTCACACACAAAGGGTCAAACTTCAGGTCAAGGAAACACTCAACACCAACACCAATACAAGTAGCCTAGAGTGTGTGAAAACACACAAAAACGACCAATCACGTTCAAGGTCGTCATCCTCTAGGAGAAGTGACTAATAAACTCATGGGGAAATCTAAAAGGTCACTTCAAATTGAAGTATGCGCTGAAGATGTCGCCTAGTAGAGCGATGATAGTTTCGCAAATTAACTATCCAGCGCAGAGAACACAATCACATCAAAATCATCCACGTGAACTACAAATCTTCTCCATCATTTCAAGAGTTGGTTTGTAAGGATTAGATTTATTTTTCGAGTTTACCACACATTGTTCAGAACTACCTGCTGGTTTTCAATGGTTCTTTTTTTAAAATATTTTTATTCCTTTACGTTCCCAGTGGAAAATAGGGCAACTTCAAGCTAGAAAGAATTAGTAACAAGAAACTCTGGCTGGGAACATACCAATGAAGAGCCAATCTATTGGTATGTTGTAATGTTTCTAATATCTTCATCAATCGATTCTAAACTAAACAGAACACCAAGTGAAGTTGCTTTCAGATTTGATTCTAAACACATCAACTAGTACATAAAAATGGTGAAAACAAAATCCCTACAGACATAAATCAACAGATCACGACAGAAGATTGATACTAATCAAAACATGATCTCAGTTGATGATCTGACTGACTAACTGGTTTCAACATAGACTTTTGCACCGATGTGCAGCAGTTGGAGTGGCCACACTCAATGTAGCACACAAAGCAAGAGAAGAAGAAGAAGAAAGTAAAAGGGAATGCAAAATAGAGACAGTAAAGAGAGATGTGAGGCCAAAAGAATAGTAATATCGAAGAAAAATTTAGTTTTATTGGGTATTATAGGTCACAAGTAGTGGGTGAATCTGCACCAGCCATCCGTTGAGCCAGCCATATCACCAATCGTCTCCAGCCTTCGTTGGTTTTACCATCCCGAGGACCACAAACAAGCAGTCAGGAAGTCTACACCTCTTTATTTGACTGACAGGCAGGCTGGGTGACTTCAACTAACTATTGTGGATTTCATTGACTGATGAAGCCATGTTAGTTTCGGTTTGACCACCACTGGCTAACTCTTTTCCAACCTGATGCATCCTATCTCAGTCAGCTAAGATTGCCTGTCATCAAGGAAGGCGGATGAATACGTAACACATGTCCTAACCATCTCAATCGATATAACTGCTTCGCAACCTCGTTGATTGATTTCCGCTCCTCCTCACCTAGTACTCGACAGATGCCTAACCTCAATATTGATCACCCCATTATACCACCCTCTGAGATGGGAGATAGAACGCAGACACTTATGATTAAACACAATTAGATAGCCAGTCTTTTCATGTCTTCCACTGTGTGAATGGCCATGTCTCACTCAGCCAGCCAGTCATAAAGGAGGATGGAGCGGACTGCCGAGAAGTACACACGGTCTTTGTTCGACGGCCTGCCAGCCAGATATCACCTCTACTAAGTCAGAGATGGCGTAAACTGGCAAATGCGAAATGAGCCTTCTTTATCCGTGTTGAGATTTTGTTAACAGTCAACCTGTTGGGGCTGGCTGATGCAATTTCCCAAATAAATGAAGTGATCAACGCGCTCCACCACTTCACTCCCTCAGTATTTTTAAGCTAGGAGTGAGTTTATGTAGTCCAATCAGTCTTGTAGCATCATCTTACAATAGACAGCAGGGGCGAATCCTATGCCGAACATTCTCAGATTGCAGCTCAAGGTGTTCACAAGACCCTGTCTGCATTTTGTCAGCGTCTTCACTTAGGAGGGAGGACTATATCATCTGCATATTCCAACAAGTCAACGAGACTATTCCCTGGTCAAGTAACAAGTCAATCCCTGAATTTCTGAAGTCAGCAGTTAGGGTTAATTCCATCAGTACGATCGACATCTATGATGAAATTAAAAAAAAATGTGGACAGTGATTGGGAATCCCTGTCGGACGGACATCACTAGTTGTCAACACTTTAGATGACAATTCGCCGTTGATGATTACAATCTCTTTATATCTTGACTGTGAAACTGTGTAACTTAGATTTCAGATAATGAAATAGTCATAACTATGACACTGTTTTTAGAAATATTTTGAACTTACTGTACGCCCACAAAATCCACCTAGAAGCTTTCCTTTCGTATCGGCTCCATCAAAAATTCTCAGATAGTCGTATCTGAAATGCGGAAAAAGTGAAAGAGGAATATCAAGTAACGTGAAATAATTTATTTTAATTAAGAGTGAATGAATGTACAAGTTGATAATTAGTCATTTCTAACCATAATACAAATGCAAATTATTGAGTAGTATAACTCCATTACGGATAAAATTTTATTTTGATAAAGTGTCACACACACAGTGTCTTTGTCATATAGGAATATTTACCAACACACGCTTCGAGCACAATTTATCATTGCTACTACTGCTCATAACCATAATCATATCAAGGCACACACTCACACACAACTCACTTTCATGTTTCGTCGTTTATATGCATGAGTAAAAATTGATGGTGACTGAACATCTGAAAAAAATCAGTAGTCTCAAAAAAGCAGGAATTAGGGTAGCATTCAAACCTACAAACTCACTCACAAGTAGGACAAGCTCTGTAGGTAGATTAAAGGACCCAATAGACACAATTAAACAAAATAATATAATTTACAAAATACCTTGCAATGACTGCGAGTTAGTTCCATTATGGGTAAATTTTGTTTTGATAAAGTCTCACAGTGTTATACAGTAATTTTTACTGATGAAGTTTCGAGCACAATTTATTGCTCATAATCATATCAAGGTTATGAGCAATATGAGCAATAAATTGTGCTCGAAACTTCATCAGTAAACATTACTGTATAACACTGTGAGACTTTATCAAAACAAAATTTACCCATAATGGAATTACATTCTACCACAGTGTACAAATTTTATTCTTATATCGACTGCGAGTTAGGTCAACTGCCCACATAGGTGAATCAGACGACTAGATCAGGCAGGAGTAGTGAGACCGCCTGTCAGAACATAAGAATTTAGCTAAGGTTAAAATGATTGATCCCACCCACGAAGATAAGTAATTTAGAAGTCAGCTCAGCACTACATTGCACTGCATGCATCTACACACAACCACACAGAGTCAGAATTCAAAACAGTAATATAGCTAGTTGGAGATAGAGAGAGAGGTTGATTACTTACTGAATCCTACCTGGTTCATCGAGTCCACACACCCAACACAACACAACATAACACATGCGATAGGAGTGGCTCATCATCATCACCAGCTAATACCACAGATATGCAAGATATTATTACCACCAGTCAGTCAATCAAATCAGAGCAGGAGGATAATAAATAATCTTAAATTGTGTTCTATTTCAGTTCAATTCAATTCACATACACATTATAACATTCTAACAACAGGTTATTTATTTATTTTACTGTAAAGACACTCGTCTTATTTCCTTTCCGTTCCCATCATCTGATTGTATTTGACTGGTTGATTGATAACACTAATATCATTATTATTATTACTTCCGAATGTACTTTCTTCTCATCTGATATTACTGGTTAATTTTATTCAATCAAATGTTGTCTAATCATCATCAATTTCTACTTATGCGTGTATATAAACGACGAAGCAAGAAAGTGAGTAGTGTGAGTATATGTGTGCCTTGATATTATTATGATTATGAGTAGTGGCAATGATAAACTGTGCTGGAATTGTGTGGTGGCATCATCAGTAAATATTCCTGTATAACAAACACACTGTGTGTGACAATTTATCAAAATGAAACATTTTCTCCATGATGGAGTTATACTCTGTGTACCACCACAGTGATCAAGTTTTATCTTTATATCAATATTAAGTAGAATGTTAATTATGTCATCACACTGATAGGTGCATTGAAATTCATCAACAGTTCTACTGCTGTAACGACAGAAGACAAGGGCCAGTCAACAGATCCTTCACTGAGAAAATCAACAGATATTTATAGATTTTTATGTACATTATTGTCAGTGGAGAGGCAACGTCTTCTGATTGGTTGTTTTCTTGCTGAAGGTTATTCTGTACTGATTGTGACGATTTCTTGAGAAGTTAAGCCATATATTTACGAATGATATTTGCACACGTTAAGTCTGCTGTGATTGGTTGGTGAATTCCTTAAGGTTAAGCTTTGTTATTGTTTTTTCTTATGACCCCTATTCGCGATGTAACTATTGATGTAAATTGTTATCTACAATTTTGACTTGTTCGCAGACAGCTTTCACCACAGTATGAATGCACATAATCTCTCCTTCTTACTGATGCTTTAGTGAGCTGTAATCACCTATCAATACTATTGATTGATTGATTAATTCAATGTAATTTAGAACAGTATTAGTGTTATTGATGATGCTGATTCTTCGATTATTATGGTTATATAAATGTAGGGCCTGATGAAATAGAAGCCGTCGAAAAGAATCACCTTTATTTAATTTATATTGATTAGACAAAAGGGCACGGTGTCGGATTGACATGTCGACTCCTTGTGCAGATGCTTCGACGATGTCTGGTCAATGTAACTTGAAGTCAGTGGGTGGATCGTGACTAGCAGTGAATGGAAACCAGGATAACGCGCATTTCATCCTATTTGAAACTCGTCAGCTGAAGCATGTACACCTACATTCCCCAATCACTGAGTAAGTGAGTGATGGCATTCCCATCACCTAGGTTAAAACCCAGCCAACACCAGCCTGAGCGTTATCCACTAGACCACTTGGGCCAAGAGCGTCACCTCTCACGTAGGGTGAATTACGCATCCTGGATTCCACGCTTTTGAACAATAAAGATGTTTCTCTTGTGGCCCAAGTGGTCTAGCGGATGAAGCTTTGGCTGGTGTTTGAAACTATAGGCCACTGCGTTCGAGTTTCAGTGGTGGTGGGAACGCCACCACTCACGCGCTGACTCATTGTTTGGGGAATCGGGGTATACATTGTGTATCTGATGACTCCTAAATAGTACGAAATCCTCTTTATCTATTATGTGGTGTCTTCATAGAAAGAAAACTTACGTGCATAGCGTTTCCTCTTCAACTTCAAAGTAGAGAAACCTTAGCAGGACTGTATGATTCTCCAGTTTTGGTGTAATCGTCCAATAACATTGCTGATTGGATTCATAATCTAAATCACTGAATTTTGTATGTGAATAGATTGTCTGTGGCACATTGTCAGCAGTTAAATGACCACCGCAAACTAACAAAACAAATTTTATTTGAGGAATTAAGGGTAAAATTAAAGTTTTCATAGTAATAATCATAGTAATTTGCTTTATTCCAAAAGAGTACTAATGATACACAGTGTGGAATTTTCAGCATTTGGTACAATAATTCGATCTAATTTTATCGAATAGCATTAGAAACAATTATAAAGATAATACTACAGAGACGGATTGATTGATTGTTAATGGCAGCTCGTATTTGGTATTTGTATTGGCAGTGAAGTCGTATACATTTACAAAAACTAATTTTCAAGTATTGGATTTTAAGGAATTTTGTTTGATTTCATTGGTTGAAGGATTTCATCATGAGCTGACATCAGTTGGTTAGAGAACTATTGGAAAACCTGAGAGTACTGTGCAGCTGTTTCGTCCTAGTTTGAGACTCTTCATCAGTATGCACTCACCACAGTGGGGTTCGAGCCCACAACCTTCTGGTTACAAGGCGACCTAGCTCGTAGACGGTGAAGTCACTGGAACCTGATCCAGTAATCCATGAATTCAAACTTCAGCCAAAAATTCACGCATGACATAGCGCGAACACCAGCAATTGTAAATAATAACGATAATAATGTGACTAGCTAAGATTGTCAGTTTAATTGAGAAGAAAGTGTCGCCATAGATTACAAATAGGAGATTACAAATATGGGAGTACTGGACAGCTGTTTCCTCTGTCCTAGTTCGGGCTGAACTGGCTCTTCAGCAGTAGGCACCGGTCCTCCACACCAACAAGGTTCGAACCCAGGACCTTCGTGCTCCAAGGTGAGTGAGCTCGTAGACTATTAAGCAACCACTCACTCTGACTGGACTCGATCCAATGGCCAGCCAGCCAGTCCATGAATCCTAACTTCTGCTAGTTCACGCACGACATACCTCGACCACTTCGCAATGTCTTCTCCCATGAGTAACTGTCCTCACCTCCGACTTCCTGTACCCTACTGATCACGGCTTCCCATTAGAACCCCAGGTAACGATGTCTATCTCAATAGGTCGAGTGATTAGTGAGCATCAGATCAATTTTCAAGTATTGGTTTTGTGGGGATTTTGTTTGATTCGTTTTGTTGGAGGATTTCATCATGAGCTGACGTCGGTTTGTAAGAGAACCATTAGAAAACCTGGGAGCTCGTTTTGTAGCCTCGAGGTGCTGAACTCAAACTCTGTCGGTGGGTGGGTGCGTACTTCTGAAGAGCCATTCTCAAACTAGGATGGGTGAAACAGCTGTCCAGTGCTCCCTGCAGGATTTCCAATGGTTCTCTAACCAACCGATATCAGGTAGTAATGAAATCCTCCAACCAATCCTCCAATCAATCTCAGTGGTGCAAAGGGCTTCAAGCGAGACGCTTGGGGTTTCGGTAGCAGTGGTGTTTATTTTTTACGGGATGGGGTTGCTAGCCTCATGCTCAACCTCCCCTCTTTAGCAGTCTTATTACTGGTTTAGGGAGGTAATGGAGTGCGTTGGCGGCCGGGGATCGAATCCCGAACCACATGCGTGGTTTGCGGCGAGCATTCTAGTGCTGTGCCACCGACGAACATGCTTGGTAGTACGAGCATATAATCTTCTGTGCTGACTTCTAGTTCTACCAGATGAGATACAGGAAGGTAGGAAGAGTTTAGAATAGAGCGGCTGAGTATTGAGGGTCAGACAGTATAGATTTAGACCATTTCTCACACATGATTTTTTCAAATGCCTATCAAATAACTAATGTAGTAGTAATAAGCTGACTGACTGACTAAGTTGCACACCACTTGGCCTACTCACAACCTTTAATACTCTTCTTCTCAAAATGACACAGTCCTTTTTGATTAAGTAGTCCAGGAAAGACTAAGGTTGGAGGGGGTGGAGAGCAGTAAAGTACAATAGGTAAGATGGACGAGTTAGCAAACTGTAAAAGCAGAGGCAGCAAATCTTGTTTAAAAAAAATAAATCTCTGCATTTTGAATGGACACTAGTCAGTAGCTTGTGTAATGTGTGAGCGTGTCTAGTCCTATCTCTTTGGTGCAGACTGAATTCTATCAGTCAGTCAAGTTTGAAATGTAGCCACGATGCCAGGTGGTGGCTGACTCACCATCACTGTGCACTGTGAATTGCTTCTGAGATGCGGGTTCAAATCTCAGAAGGAGGAACATGAATTCCTTCAAGGCTGCAGATACGCCTTGCTGACTGATGATGGTTGAGTGCACGAAATCTAGGTGTAGATCCAAGGCTTTCCCTGTTGCCGATTGCCTCCAGCTATCTTAAATCTCTGCACTGTTTATCTCACCCAAGTGAGATGATATGGATTTGTCAGCTGTGAATTGTGTAGATTATTTTCGTATGACATTTGATTTCTTGAGCCGAGAAATCGTAGACATCACTTACATCTCCATATCATTTAAAGGCCAAGATAAATTTAAAGCGCCATTAACTTTTTAAGATTATTGAATGAACGAACTGATATAAAGATTTCCTTGAAATTGTAGGTCAAGTGTTGTCTAAAGAAATTAACAGTGTGATGAGGATAACAATAAAGGTGGCGAAGGTGAAGTAAAGTGGAAGGATGAGTTCAAGTGGTAAAATAGAATAAAATAAAAGAATATTACTATGATCAAGATAAAGAAAGGGGTTTAACAAAACGTTTTTGAATACATAATTTAGGTTTCTGTCCATGTATGGCTAGAGCTTCGGCAGGCTATGCATAAGTGAAGAAAATGTAAGCTTTTGGAGTGACTGGATTAGGTTTTGTAGATAACTAACTTTAAAGGATAAATTACGTGTGACTCCAGAAGGTGTTAACAGTTTGAAGACTTTGTCGTCCCTGCCTCCCCGATTAGTGTTCAGCTACGCGTTTACGGAGATTACGCTGACAACATCCAATGTACTCAGCTCCACATGAGCATGCGAATGAGTTATAAGTATAAGGCTTGGGCACTGTGGTAGAGTATAACTCCATTATGGATAAGATTTTATTTTGATAAATCACACAGTGTTATACAGTAATGCTAACTGATGACGTTTAGAGCCAAAATTATTGCCGCTCATAATCATATCAAGTCCTTGATACGAAACGTCATGTGAATCATTGAATGCACATAAAATTATACCTAAAAAGTTCGAATTTCAACCAAAATAAGTACTTGGATACAACAGCTTGGATGCTTAACTAATACACTGAATAACAATGTGATGTATTATTATTATTGTTTCGTTCAATTCCTAGATGATAGTAGGGCTTCAGCCGCACGTCTCCATTGCGTTTGGTTCTACGACAACGTTTTCACCTCGCTTCACGCGTCTACTCACAGGCTTTCATCCCCTCTTCTCTTCACCTCACCCATGTCACCCTCACACTCACGACCAAATCGTCGTTCCCCTTACAGGTTCCACTCGAGTGATGGCCTGTTGTGTGATATCACTTGATGGTTTGTTTTCTCAGAGTATGACCACAGTCCACTCCACCTCCAATTTTTCCTGCATATTTCTAGCGCAATCGGTTCCTGCTGGGTTGGTTCGTTCATTGTCAGAGATCCCTCATTGTCGCTGATCTTTTCTGGCTCGTCATCTGATCTTGAGCGAGCGAAGTACTGAGCGAAGACAGCTGTTGATGGTTCGTAGTTTGTTCGAGGTGCCCTTCGTGACGCGCCAAGTCTTTGATTCGAATAGCAAGTAGCACTGACTTCACATTGTAGTAGAAAATCCGGATCTTATTTTCATTTTCATGCTGAGTACTGTTCATCTCCACAGCTTGCCTTGCTTTTTTGATCCTCACGCTTTGATGATATCCTCATCAGTTCCATCTGCTTGTAGTTGAAGTGATGCTTCCCAGGTCGGTAGGTAGGTAAAGGAGTTTGCTTCTACCAGATTTCTCCCATTAATGCTGGTTGATTGTTGCCTGTTGTTTTTGCTGTTGCTGTGATGTGATGAGTTCAGTTCAAATCCTAGAAATGAGAGACCAATGAAATTACACTATATCAAAAGGTGGGGTTGGGATTAAAGCCGAAGATTATGTAATCAGATGAAAAAGACAAACCTACAGAGGGAGTAAAGACACACAATTACCAGACAGAGCAGAAAAAGGAAAGGCTAGTGGTAACTGCTTCTTTTCGATTACATAATTTGAATTTCAGGCGTTTGATGATGACTGCTTCAGCATCAACTTAATTCATTTCTTGACACTGACCACAGTTAATTGCTGCATAGTGATACAATACAGGATAACGCGCATTTCGTCCTATTCGGAACTGGCTCGTCAGCTACTGAATGTACACCTGCATTCGCCAAGCAGTGAGCCAGTGCAGATGTTCCCACCGCCACTGAGACTCGAACACAGTGCCCGTAGTTTCAAACACCATCCATAGTCTTATCTGCTATACCACTTGGGCCGCGACAGCCACATCTTTCTTGTGCGATGCGTCTGATTAATTACTTAATTGAATCAATTTTAGATTTCCGCGTCCGTTGATTGTGATTGGAGCGAAGTGCTTGATCTCAGTTTGACATGTCTGTCGACTTCTTGTGCAGAAACTTCCACAATGTCTGGGCATGTACACAGTTGATGAGAAGCTGATGATGAAAAGTCAGCGAAAGAAACAACTGACGGTATCATGTTCTCATTCTGAACAAATCACTGTGTTGTACTTTCCTTTATTCAAACCTACAAGAGTTGAACTTGTATGCTGAAAATACGAGGTAAGTACATTCATTGTTTCTTTTGACAATTTTGACGCACTTTCCAATATGAATCGAAATTTCTTTATTTAAAAAAAATTTATTGTAGCTTGATTCCGCACTTTATTTTCTGGTACCATTATGGAATTTTCAGCATGTGCTATCAGTAGCCCAAATTTAGCAGGCTGGCCATTGATATCAAGTTTGTGTCAGCCGCGGATCGAATCCCGGACAATGTGCATGGTCGGCAAGAGTCCTAACCGATGTGAGTGGAGGTAATCAGCCATAGGAAGTCTTGCCTAGCTATAGGTTTCCTGTTGATGGAATTCACTCTGCACCAAACAGAGGATTAGACACATTACACTAGTTACTGACTAGTGTCCAATCAAAAATATCCAGTACAGTCAGTCCTACAGGAGGTCAATCACAAGTTCGAATATCTCAGTGCTGGTAACCCATCTAACTCACTGCCGTATTCACCGGGTGACACTGGTTCGAATCTCAGAAGGAGGGACATGAACTTTTCCTTCAGTGTGGTTGCAGATAAGCCTTGCTGACTGATCGTGCGTGACTGCTAGCTTGCGCGAAACCTACGCCTAGGCAAGGCCTCCTGTGGCTGACTGCTTCCAAACATCTAACACTAAGAATTCACAGTGCACCGCGATGGTGAGCTAGTCACCTAGTGGTATGGTGGCCACGTTGCAAACTTTAGTGACTGATAGAATTCAGTCTGCAGCAAAGAGATGGGACTAGACACACAGTCACACGCACACACGCATTGCACTAGTTACTGACTAGTGTCCAATCAAAAAGTAGGTTAGGACTGATTAGAGCTGCTTTGTTCTACTCGAGCAGTTTAGATTGAACTTGTTTGAGTAGAGAGAATGTCCTATTTTGCGACTCCTCACCAGGAGTTGAACTTGAAACCTTCAGTTTACGAGACCAAACACGTTGAAGATTATTCAGTCGCTTGAATTGGGATTCAGTGTCTCATGAATTTCTAATCTCGTCATTTCTTGATGCAGCGATACTCTCGGCAATGCCTTCGATGAGAGCAGTGTTATATCACGAGTTGACTAAGAATCCATGAGTCCCTTAATCTCAGCCCAGATGACTTAATGGTCGTCGGTGTGTTTGATCTGGTAAACTGAAGGTCTCAGGTTTGACTCCTGGTGAAGAGTCACAAAATAGGACAAGACAGTTGTCCAGTGCTCCCGACTGGTCCTCAGTGATCTCGGTCAAACTGATGTTGGTTCTAAATAACTGTCTGCTTAAATCGAACTCTTCTTTGAGTATGTCAGAATTATCTTGAACGTCTTATTTGAAGAATCGGCGAAGACAAGACTGCAGGTGAACATGGAGAAGGTGGAGACGGAGGTGATGAAGATAACCAAATACCACCACCAGCAGGTACAGCAACAACCAACACCAAGCACCATCAATGGGGCAGCTTGACAGAGGTTGCCTCCTTCACTTATCTGGTTAGGAAGCATTGTTTCAACTACAGGCCATCGAGACGGGTGAAGATGCCTAAGCCAGCCAGCCAGCCAGTGAGAATAGGGAAGCCAGGATACGCCTTCATCAACCTGAAACCAGTTTGGAAATCTTATGCACTGCACTCCGCCTCAGCATCAAGAACAAGATTCGGATTCTATTCAACACCAGTTTGAAGTTAGTCAGTTGGTGCTTCTATACGGGCTAGAAACTTGCACTCCACGTGAGTCACGCAAAGCGTTTCGAACAGATCACTGCAGATTTTTATCAACAGCTGTCCACTTCACTGGCTGGCTCCATAATGAAGGTCAAGTGGCCAGTCGGCCGCCTGGCTGGCCAGAAAGAATCAATTGCAAGAAACTCTGGTAATGAATGAACGAATCAACCAAGAGTCGATTGCTCAACAAATATGTAGGAGAAAATGGAGATGGACTGATTGGGTGTACGTTGATGAAGGAGGCAGTCGGATGACATGGCGCTCAATGCAGGCCATTGCTCTCGGTCGGTCGGTCGGTTTTCGACATAGAACTTCGCACATATGTGCGGCAGTTCAAGTCGCCACACTCCATCGCCATCGCTCTATTGAAATCTCAATGTGGAGAGACGAGTTGGTGGTCGGTGTGAGGCTAACATGGAGAAGATCGTGTGAGTTGATGGAGGAGATGAGAGATTGTGAGGAAACGTAAACTCAGTTCAAGAGGACAGCAAGGAATGGAGCAAAGTAGAGATGTGTTGTTGAAGCCAGTCCTATGTTCCACTGTGAACCCAAAAACACATTAATAATATTATTATTTGAAGACTAGAGGTTAAATCAGAGAAAAAATGTTTTCATATTCAAAAAAATAATCATAAACTGATGAATCGAGTACTACTTCACTAACTTGTTGTATGTTGTGCTCTAAATCCTTTACGTTGTACTGATGAATCTGAATTGAATGTTAGCAGTAATTGATTTTGTGATGAGATAATTGGTCCAGGTTTATGACTACCACAGTATTGACCGAGTACAGCTGAAGTGTTTGTCGGTCCATCATACGCAATGACTTGATCGTATATACACTGTTGATGCGGTTCAAGTTCGAAGTCCGCAAATATCTAAAAGAAGAAGAAGGCGACGTATTTGCAACTCAAAGGAAATATGCAGATTATTTAATTTCAAAATTTAGATTATTTTCCCATCGATCGTGATTGGACCAAAGTAGTCGGTAAAGAAGCTCCGAAGATGTCTGGGCATGTTTATTTATTTTAATATTATTCCCTCGGGTTCCGAGTAGAACATAGGGCTGGCTTCAACAACACATCTCCACTTTTTCTGTCTTCTACCATCCCCTTAAGATGGCTGGCTCCATGATTGAACAAACTATCTCATCTCTTCCAACTCACACGATCTACTCCATGTCACCCTAGCACCAACGACACACTCGTCGCTTCTCATTCATCTCCCACTCAAGTGATGGCCTGCATTGAGTGGGATGTCATTCGGCGGCCACCTTAATGTGTATGCCCGATCCATCCATCTACATTTCCCCCTACATAATTGTTGACCGATTGGCTCTTGCTTGTTGGTTCGCTCCCATAGTTTCTTGTTGCTCAATCTTTCTGATCGGTTGGCCATTTGTTCTTCAGTATAGAGCCAGCGAAGTTGACAGCTGTTGATGAATGTTTGCAACAAGCTGTTGGATATCCTTTCCGTGACAGGCCCGCCAAGTTTCTGATCCATATAGAAGAATTGACCAACTTGGTATTGGTTCTGAAAATGCGGATTTTGTTGTTTATGCTGAGGTGGAGTGCAGAAGATTCCAAAACTAGATTCAAGTTGATGAAGGCGTGTCTATCTTGCCTTTCCAGCTTGCTGGCTTTAACACCTTCATTCATTCCGACTGCCTGTAGTTAAAACGTTGCTTCATAGCCAGATAAGTGAAGGAGGCAACCTGTGTTAATTTTGTCGCTTTGGTGGTGATTGGTGCTGGTGTTGTTGCAGCTGCTGTTGGTGGTATTTGGTTATCTTCATCAACTCCGTCTCCACCTTCTCTGTGTTCACCTGCAGTCCTGTCTTAGCTGGCTGCCTGCTTCCTCAGCCATTTTGTTGGATTTCGCATGTAAGTCTTCAAGTTTGTGTGACACTGGACACATATCATCTGCGAAATCCATATCTTCTAGAGTCTTCCTATCGGTCGTCAGCCTATTCCTGACCCCTAGCTCCCAACAGTCTGATGCATAATCCCGTCCACCACAGCTATCAATATTATCGATGGTGATAATAGGTAGCTAGCCAGCCAGCCAGCCATCCAGCTTGTCTTACTCCTGTATTCACTTCGAAAGCCTCTCTGAGTTTCCCGTTGTGGATCACCTGACACGTGGCATTGTCATATAACCAGCCAGCCAGCCAGCTTTTGAATGAGTTTGATGAAGACTTGAGCCCTGCACTGCACGCCGTATTGTTGAAGTAGTTTCTAAATCGCTTCACCGTCATCTCTGGCTGTCAAAGGCCTTTTCGAAGTGGATGAAGTTGCTGAGGTAGAGAGAGGTTTGATTACCATTCTCTGCTTTGTTCTGTGATGAAGAAGCTTAGAGTTGCAAATTGATCAGCACATGATTTGCCTTTCCTGAATCCAGCTGGTTCCTGTGAATCCTTTATTCTCTGCAGGATGATGCAACTTAGTATTTTACTTGGCATGCACAAAAGAAGTATTCCACGCCAGTACTTGCACAGTCGTAAGTCGTCCATGTAATTAGGAGTATTTTGGTGGATGTTCACCAGCATTCTAAACATCTGCACAAGAAGCCGACATGTCAACCTGAGACCAAGCACTTCGCTCCAGTCACAATCAGCGGATAGTAAAATATAAAATTCATTGAATTAAACGATAACTTATATGACTTGTTGCACAATATAGGAGTGGTTCTCCTGTAGCGTTAGTGGTCTGGTGTATAACGCTTTGGCTGGTGTTTAAAACTATGAGCACTGGGTTCAAGCGTCGTTGGTGGTGGGAACATCATGATTCCCTACCTGGGGAATGCAGGTACATTTAGCTGGCGGACGGGTCACAAGCAGGACGAAATACGTGTTATCCTGAACTCCATCCAATCCTAGTCACCATTCACCAAGTAACTTCGAATATGTGGACTGTATCGTTATAACAGGTGTGTGCAATTATTTTTCACTATTTACCCGATGGTGATTGGTGATTGTATTTTTTAAATAATAAGCCTAAATGACAAATCTGACAGTTTATATCAGATATGTAGTCAGATGATAACTACCAATGTGATATGGTTTGCTAACTGTCTATTGATCGTTAGTCAGTGATGATGACTCTCAGCACAATCTATCTTTTCTGTCAATGAACTAAATTACAGCTTTTATTCCTCAAGTATTGGTGTGTAGGGATTTGATTGATTGGTTACAGGATTTCTTCATGAGCTGATATCATTTGGAGAACCATTGGAAAACCAGCCACAGGGAGTACTACCGGACAGCTGTTTCCCCGCTCCTAGTTTGTGATTCTTCATTAGTTCGCACCTACCCCATTGGGTTTCAAACCCGGGACCTTCTGGTTACGAGGCGAGCTCGTCGCTACTGGTTCATGACGAAATTCTGTAACCAATCTATCAAATGCCTACAAACCAATACTTGAATATCAATGAGATGCTCACTAGCGACTAACCCTATTCAGGTAGGAAGTTATCTGGGTTCTAGTGGGAAGTCGTGAACAGTAGCGTGCAGCAGGTCGGTCGTGATGATAAATACTCTCCATCAAGAATATTGGCTGATGGTCACGCTATGTCGTGAATCGGCAGAAGTTAGAATTCATGGATTGGCTGGCTGGCCGTTGATTCGGTTCCCGAAAATTGGCTTACTGGTCTACGAGCTCACCTTGTAAGAAGAAGGTCGTGGATTCGAACCTCAATCAGGCGGTTGCGTATTAATGAAGAGTCGCAAACCAAGACGAGACAGCTGTACAGTACTCCCAGGTTTTCCAATGGTTCTCTAACCGATGTCATCTCATAATGAAACGTATGACCTTATTTTCCATCCTATTATATTTCATTGATAACACTAATATCATTATTATCATTATTTCCGAGTTTACTTTTTTCTCATCTGATATTACTGATTAATTTTATTCAATCAAATGTTGTCTAATCATCATCAATTTCTACTTATGCATCTACATAAACGACGAAGCAATAAAGTGAGTAGTGTGAGTATGTGTGTTCCTTGGTATTATTATGATTATGAGTAGTGGCAATGATAAACTGTGCTGGAATCGTGTGGTGGCATCATCAGTAAATATCCCCGTATAACAAACACACTGTGTGTGTGTGACAATTTATCAAAATGAAACATTTTCTCCATGATGGAGTTATACTCTGTGTACCACCACAGTGTGCCACCCAAGTTTTATCCTTATATGAATGACATTTGTCACATGACATTGCAGCCAATCATAACCCATTTCTGGGTAAAATTAATACTACTTATCTATCTTATTGTTGGTTCATATATTGGCTCACACTTGACTGCTCCTGTGGAGGCAGTTAATTGCATAGGGCATACAATTAGACATGTTTATCGTCTGATTACGCAACAACATCTTGTAAAGTGGTTGGTTTAGTAAAGGACAAACAAAATCCCTTCATTATTATTATTTATTATTATTATTTCCTTTAGTTCCTAGAGGAACATAGGGCTTCAGCCGTGCGTCTACATTGCGTTCAGTTCTCTGCTAGAGTTTTCACCTGGCTCTAAGTCTGCCCATACGCTTTCAATTCTTCTTCACATGATCTCCTCCGGGTCACCCTTGGACGACCAACTCGTCGCTTCCCTTTCGGGTTCCACTCGAGGGCTTGTCTGGTGATGTCACTTGCTGGTTTCCTCAGAGTGTGGCCAATCCATCTCCATTTCTTCCTGCGTATTTGTTTCACAATCGGTTCCTGGTTGGTTCGCTCCCAGAGATCTTTGTTGCTGATCCTTTCCGGCCATCTGATCTTGAGTATTGAGCGAAGACATCTGTTGATGAAGGTCTGTAGCTTGCTCTTTATGACGCGCAGTGCAAGTCTCTGATCCGTATAGTAGCACTGACTTAACATTGGAATTGAAAATCCGGATCTTATTTTTGACGCTGAATGTTGTTGACCTCCACACAGACTTGAGAGTAATGAAAGCTTGTCTTGCTTTCCCGATCCTTGCTTAAATCCCTTCATTGCTCTATTCTATCTCATCTTGTGGATACAGAACACAAGACTGATTGATGTTAACAAGATGGCACTCAAAGTCATCTGCCACGTATACTAACTAATCTTAACTTCACCTTAAGAGTTAATTTGCTAAATATTGCTGAGGTTGGCTGTTGAGATCCACATTAGGAAGCCAAACTTATGTATGTATCCTTACTTTGGCCATCTAGGTTTGAATGATCCTCAAATTTTTGTAGAAAATTCCTTAATTTTATTTACTATTACATTTTTATGCTTCTTATAATTTATGTATCTTTCGTGAACCGTGTGTAATTCCATTGTGATCGTAATTAACAAATCGATGGTATTTAGAAAACACACCAACATTGTTATTGACTACTATTCCAGAATGTTTTGTGTGTATAAACATATATATGTAATTGTAGAGCCAGAAGAGGAGGAAATTATCGAAAAGGATATTCTTTGCTCAATTATTTTGTTTCACATATGTTAGTTATTTTCTTAGACTCTTGTACTGTACAGCTGATTGACACTTTTTCAGTTACGCTCCTTTTGTGTGACAGCTAATTTCCCCTGTTGGAATAATATACGTATCTTTCATCAACCTGTGGGTGTCTTCTAACTTCTCTCTTGCGGTCAGGGAAATTTAACTACCAATAAGGAATACCAGTCGTCTCGCTGCCATCGTCCGTTATATCTCGTTAGTCGTATTTATACTCGGTCACTCCAAAACAATATCAGATCTATTCAGCATTTCAGAAACCACAGTCCGGTGTTGAAATCACCTCACTCTAGCCAGCTGGTTGGCAAGCACTGCTGATTGATGTGCCTGGTATGCAACTAATCATCTGACTGAATTAAAAGAAATACTACACCTCGAAAAATTAATTGCCCGAACCTCCCTCCGAAAATACTTCGCAGATTTGTGGATTTGCAGATATCAGTTGTATGAAATAACTTTGTTAAAGCTGGTACAATAAGACGTTTATTAACTTTCTAACAAGTGACTCCACTTCACTCCAGTCAATAAATACTCGCCGAAGACATTGTCTAATGGTCACGCTATGTCATGAATTGGCTTGGGCTTGCCATTGGATCTGGTCGTGTCCGAGTGAGTGGCTGCGCAATCGTCTACGAGCTAGCTGGCCTTGTAACGCGAAGATGCTGGGTTCGAACCCTGTTGCGTACTGCTGAAGAGTCAGCCCAGCCCAAGCAATAAGACGGAGGAAACAGGTGTCCGACAGTACTGCGTGTGGTTCTGGTTCTCTAACCACCAACCGATGTCAGTGCTCATGACAAAATCCTGTAACCAATAAATAAAGGAAGTTAGGACATAAAAGATAAAAAGAAACTTACAATTTTTACACGATGACCAGGTGTAACTGTTATCTTCCAATGACATGTCTGTTTCATAGGATATTCATTTGGCCAGTTGGGTGTGATTATCTCTCCATCGGGTGAGGAAATATCTTGCTGACAGCCAGTTTCAACATCTAGTTAAGAAGATAAAAGAATGGAGTAAGAGGATACCTATCAATGGGTGACATTGTGATAACATCAAAAATTTTGACATGTGATTATTTTTTATTTTACCGTTTCCTATACACATACAATTATAGATGAAACTTTTATTTTATTCCTTTACGTTCCCAGTGGTACAAAAGGCTTCAAACGAGACGCTTGCGGTTTCGGTAGCAGTGGTGTTTATTTTTTATGGGATGGGGTTGCTAGCCTCACGCTCAACCTTCCCTCTTTACCAGTCTTATTACTGGTTTAGGGAGGTAATGGAGTGAGTCGGCGACGGGGATCGAATCCCGAACCACATGCGTGGTTGGCGGCGAGCATTCTGGTGCTGTGACACCAACGTACGTAGATAAAACTTAGTCAATTTTATGAAATTATGAACCATTGGTCAACAGACTCGCTGGTTTGATGAAATAAAAATCATGACTACAGGGTTGAAGGGAATCTTTAGGTGACGAAACGTCATGACAACTTAACAAAACTGTAAATAACTTAAAACCTGAGATGAGTAAGGAAAACTCATAATTCAAATAGTAGACCTGAAGATTTGTAACTCATAGACTGGGGATTTAAGGACTAACACATTCAGATTTTGGGTTAAATTTCAGTCATAAATTATACTTAGAATATTTTTTAGACGTTGTGAAAACTTTAAGTTGATTGATCTAACGGGAAGATTTATTAATATTTAGAGACCTAATTTCCTTCATGTCTGTCTTACAAGTTTATTTATTATTATTATTGTTTCCTGTAGTTCCTAGAGGAACTTGGGGCTTCATCTTCACGTCTCCATTGCGTTCGGTTTTCTGCCAATGTTTTCACCCAGCTCCACGTTTGTCCTCCTCTTTACATCACCTCCTCCTTGTCACCCTCGCATTCACGGCCAACTCGTCACTTCCTATTCCGATTCTACTCGAGTGCCTGTTTTGTGAAATCACTTGATGGCTTTCTCAGAGTATGGCCAATTTATGAATAAACCTGTTATGGTGTGACCGAGTGTAAATATGACTAACAAGATATAACGGTGGATAACGTAAACGACTGGTATTGCTTAGTAGTGAATTTGCTCTGTCCAGAAGAGGAAAATCAGAAGACCCCTATTTTCCCCAATGGATACGTGTATTTTCCAACAAGGGAAAATCAACTGTCACACAAAAGAATGATTGGAAAAGTACGAAAGTATATCAATTTACTGTACAATACAAGAGTATATAGAAAATAACTAACATACATTGTACCAATAAGATCGATAGGTAGTTTTTCTTACCCCCCTTTAACCTGGATTGTGATTGTTTGCAGTGTCATGTGACCAAGGTCATTCATTGTTTATTGAATTATTATTCAAGTATTGCTTTTTGTAGGGATTTAGTTTGATTGCGTGGAGGATTTCATCATGAGCTGACATCAATTATAGAAACACTGGAAAACCTGGGAGTACTGGACAGCTGTTTCGTCCTAGTCTGGAACTATTCATCAATACGCACCCACCGGGATTCGAACCCAGGACCTACTGGTTACAAGGTGGGCTCGTAAAGCATTGAGCCACTGGGACCCAATCCAATGGTCCTTGAATTCTAACTTCTGCCAATTCACGACATAGCGCGACCATTTCGCAATGTCTTCTTCGATGAGTTACTGCCTCATCTTCAACCTGCTGCACCCTACTGGTCACGGCAGACAAGATAGACTGTGAGTCATAATGGACTAACGATCAAAAGAAACAGCAGAATATTTCAGAGCAGACATCATGTGACTACACTATCAAAACCCTAATTACTGTACAAAGGTGTGATATGTAGTGTTTGCTCATTAACAATAATGGCGTATTATTGATAACAACAGGGGTTGAAAATTCATCCTGAACAATAGATGAATTGATCTGATATAATGTCCTGAGGTCTCTTTTACCTACGGCCTGACTGCCTGTTCTGCTTCAGTTGCCACCAGCCAGCCAGTGTGTCGTAGAATTGTCTTTTGTCTTTCTCTTCCCTTCTTCACTATTCTCTTTAATCAGTGCAGTGTATATTCCAGTGAACTCAGCTTCTCCTTCTGTTGCCCATCTTTGCATTGAGTAGCCATCTTTACTTTCACCATCCTCCTCTCCTTGAAGTTGCGTCCGTATTAAGGTCTCTTAGTACCGGCTACGAACCACGGCCAAAAGTAAATAGGGATGTGTACAGACTGTTTTCATTCCTCCTTCCCAGAGTGAAGAAGTCGTTTAGCTGGCATGCTGGTTGTCTGAAGGAAACACCCTACCGTTTTTACATCCATATTCACCTGCATTACAACTTTTTCCACGGATCCTGAACACGCTGTGACCACTATATACTATAGTGGTAAATGATTTTAGTTTTTTTATTCCTTTACGTGTGACCAGAAAATGAAATCATATGGGGTTAATCAGTTAATAGTACTGTACAACACTGTGGTTTATCAAAATAAAATCTTATCCATGATGGAATTATACTCTACCACAGTGCCCAAGTTTTATACTTAGCTCAATAATGCATATGGTGTTCCTACTTGGAAGCTTATCAACAAAATATATGGGGAATAGTGGGTCCACCTAAAGGATCTATAAAGAAAGAACAAGATTGATGTGAGAGAAAGAACCTCAAGGATTATTAATAATGTTTGGGGTAAGGAAGGAAGACCAATGCGGCTTGTAAACGTTTTACTTAAAGAAATCATTGTAGGTACATAAATTTGTTATACCAATGATTTATTTGCACGTCATTCGCAAATTCGTCGAACATCACCACATTCAATAGCTTGTTGGATTTTGTACAGTGTTAATAACGTTCTTCTCGCAGTTCTTTTCTTCAATTGCTTTTTCCAGTCTCTGAAACATTTTGCTGCTGTTCTGAATTCGTTTACTGATATACTACTTATATCTGATTATAAGTAGCACTCACTACACCGGCACCAGAATAAGTTCAGAAAGCATTCCATTTTTGAAATTTCGTCTTAGTGACTCAAATCTTCAACAAACTGGCTAAAGAGGCTGGCTGGTAGCGAAGACAGGACAACATTCACGTGAACATGGAGAAGGTGGAAACAGAGGTAGTGAAGATAACCAACCAACAGTGAGAACAACAACAACGAGCGTCAATCACCATGAACGGGAGTAGCTGGGCAGAGGTTAACTTCTTCACTTATCTGGCTAGGAAGCATCGTTTCAACCACGGGCAGACTGCACGAACGTAGATGTCGAAACCAACCAGCCAGAATCGGGAAGGCAAGATACGTCTTCATCAACCTGAAACCAGTTTGTAAATCTTTTGCTTCACTCCATCTCAGCTAGCATAAACAACAAGATTCGGATTCTATTCAACACAAATGTGAAATCAGTTGGTCAGTCCCTTCTTTTATATGGGTCAGAAACTTGCACTGCACTACAGACTTTTATCAACAACTGCCACCAACTTGACAGCTAAAAATGCCCCCAGACAAACGAACGGTGATCAAGTTAGCAAACTTTATTTTGATATCATAACAGACATACTATTACCTTTGTTATTTGGTTTAGTCATCTTCATCGCTATTTTTACTTTCAATATGTCCCTTTAACTTGACCTAAGTCTATTTTCTCACCTCTTAACTCTTTGTTATATATATGCTGAGATTTTGTAAATTCTGGCCTAATAATACTTGGATAAAGCTATTAGCATTAAATAGCGAAAAGTCAGTGAAAACAATATCGTTTTGTTTTTCATTCATTGGGAAATACAAAAACCTTTATTATAATGAACTGCCACTTTCGCTATCCGGAAGGCTCCACAGTGAAGACCAAATGGCTGGCCAGAAAGAATTAACAACAGGAAACTCCTGCGGTGGACGTATCAGCCAAAGCTCAAAAAATATGTAGGAGAAAATGGATATGGATTGATTGGCAATACGTACAGGAAGGAGGCCGTCGGATAACATCAATCACTCGAGTGGGAGGTGAATGGGAAGCGATGATTGGGAGTTCAGTGCTATTGTGATATGTAGAAGATCGTGTGTGTGTGTGGGTGTGAGGGTGAAGGGGAGATGAAAGATCATGGTCAGTCGTGGAGTTAGCCAACTGAAGAAGACAGCAGAGAATAGAAAAAAGTGGAGAGGTGTTGATGAAGCCGAATACGTTCCACTGGAAACCCTAGAGAATAATTGAAACTAAACTCCTTATTTAAAGCAAACAAGCCAACACTAGTGAACTGACATAACAATTCAAACGAACTTAACAGCTGAAATGTATTCACCATCATTATTATAACAATAATAATTAAAGAAGAAAAAATAGAGAAGAAGTGAAATGACTCACTTTCTTTGCATTCATATCTCCCATAGAGATTGAAACCAGGTCGACATGCACAATAGTAGGAACCAATTGTATTTGTACACAAGTGTTGACACCCCCCATTGTTATCATCGCATTCATTACGATCAGTGAAGAATACAGCACGAAATCCTGTACGTTGTACTGACTTGTCAGAATAAAATTCAATACTCAACTCATTTGTATGCGAAGTTATCGGCAGTGGGATTTGATCCCCACAGAATGTACCAATTTTCTTTTGATTATCTGTTGGACCACTATACACATTGATAAAATCGTATCTACATTCTCTCTGCAGGGAACAGAGAAGAAAGGGAGAGAGCGAGAGATGAACAAAACATTAAAATAAACTTTGAGTCTTTATCATATTCATTGTGTTGTGGACGCCTGAAGGTGATGCAATCATCCTGAGTGTTAAAAGAATCTTCAGGCAAAGCTTGAGGATTTGGCAAATGTTACCAGATTAGGTGAACAAGAAGAATGTTATTATTATTCCCTCGGGTTCCGAGTAGAACATAGGGCTAGCTTCAACAACACATCTCCACTTTTTCTGTCTTCTACCAACCTCTTCAGATGGCTGGCTCCATGATTGAACAAACTCTCTCATCTCTTCCAACTCACACGATCTACTCCATGTCACCCTAGCACCAACGACCCACTTGTCGCTTCTCATTCATTTCCCACTCGAGTGATGGCCTGCATTGAGTGGGATGTCATTCGGCGGCCTCCTCAATTGATGCGCGATCAATCCATCCCCACTTTCTCCTACATATTTGTTGACCGATTGGCTCTTGCTTGTTGGTTCGCTCCCATAGTTTCTTGTTGCTCAATCTTTCTGATCGGTTGGCCATTTGTTCTTCAGTATAGAGCCAGCGAAGTTGGCAGCTGTTGATGAATGTTTGCAACAAGCTGTTGGATATCCTTTCCGTGACAGGCCCGCCAAGTTTCTGATCCGTATAGAAGAATTGACCAACTTGGTATTGGTTTTGAAAATGTGAATCTTGTTGTTTATGCTGAGGCGGAGTGCAGAATATTCCCAAACTATTTTCTAGTTGATGAAGGCGTGCCTATCTTGCCCTTTCAGCTTGCTGGCTTTGACACCTTCATTCGTTCGACTGCCTGTAGTTAAAACATTGCTTCATAGCCAGATAAGTGAAGGAGGCAACCTGTGTTAATTTTGTCACTTTGGTGGTGATTGGTGCTGGTGTTGTTGCAGCTGCTGTTTGTGGTATTTGGTTATCTTCATCACCTCCGTCTCCACCTTCTCTATGTTCACCTGCAGTCCTGTTTTCGCTGCCTGATACCTCAGCCATTTTGTTGGATTTCGCATGTAAGTCTTCAAGTTTGTGTGACACTGGACATATATCATCTGCGAAATCCATATCTTCTAGAGTCTTCTTATCGGTCGTCAGCCTATTCCTGACTCCTCGCCCCCAATAGTCTGATGTATAATCACGTCCACCACAGCTATCAATATCATCATCGATGGTGATAATAGGTAGCCAGCCAGCCAGCTGTTGAATGAGGTTGATGAAGACTTGAGCTCTGCACTGCACGCTGTATTGTTGAAGTAGTTTCCAAATTGCTTCACCGTCATCTCTGGATGTCGAAGGCCTTTTTGAATTCGATGAAGTTGCTGAGGTGGAGAGATGTTTGATTGCCATTCTCTGCTTTGTTCTGTGATGAAGAAGCTTAGAGTTGCAAATTGATCAGCACATGATTTGCCTTTCCTGAATCTAGCTGGTTCCTGTGGGGCTGATGGAGTTCTGTATCCAGTGCATCCTTTATTCTCTCCAGGATGATGCACCTAATATTTTACGTGGCATGCACAAAAGATGTATTTCACTCCTGTTTTTGCATAGTGAGGAGTACCTTACCCTTCTATGGCAGTTTGACGAGGTAGCCCTTCTTCCAATCAGTAGGCACGTTTCCTCCTTTCCAACATTTTTACAGTAGTAGAGTGAGAACATCTGCCGTAATCTCTAGGGCCGTCTTCAAACAAAATCCCTTGGAAACGAATACTTGACAAATCGAAATGCTCACAAAATAAACCAACCAACGACAACAGACAAATGGGAACTCACATTACGGCCTTCCAAATTAAAATGTGTAAAGTTTAGAAATATTGTTGTTTTAGGCGGTGCTAAAATTTTCCATATACAATTTTTCCGAGGTGGATACAAATCAGGAAATGATGGAGTTTGTATTGTACCATTCGACTCGTTTATTACACCACCACAAGCATCTATTGAATTAAATATATAAAGATTTATAATAATAATATTATTATTAAGTAATAATTGTAATAATAAAGGTAATAATAATAACTCCTTAGTTAAAACTGCAATTTCTTACATAAAGCTGGTTTAGCATATTAATAAAGATTTGAGGATAAAACTTGGGCGGAACACTGTGGTGGTACACAGAGTATAACTCCATGATGGAGAAAATTTTATATTTTCATAAATTGTAACACACATTGTGTTTTTTATAGAGGGATGTTTACTGATGATGCCACCACACGATTCCAGCACAATTTATCATTGGTACTACTACTCATAAGCATAGAAATAGAATACATTTTAACATTATTTATCATCCTCCTGCTCTGATTTGATTAACTGACTGGTAGTAATAATATCTTCCATATCTGTGGTACTAGCTGGCGATGATGATGAGTCACTTCTATTGCATGTGTTATGTTGTGTTGGGTGTGCAAACTCGATGAACCAGGAAGGATTCAGTAAGTAATCAATCTCTCTTTCTTTATCTACACCAAACTATTATTGTTCCCTTGGGTTCCTAGTGGAACATAGGGCTTCAACTGCACGCCTCCACTTGCTTCTGTCTTCTGCTGTACTTTTCACTTGCATCCATGTTAGTCCATACTGTTTCAACTCCTCTTCACGCGATCTCCTCCATGTCACCCTTGGACGTCCCACTTGCCGCTTCCCTTTTGGGTTCCACTCGAGTGATGGCCTGACGCGCGATGTCACCCAACGGCCTCCTCAGCGAGTGTCCAATCCATCTCCACTTTCTCCTGCATATTTGTTGAGCGATTGGTTCCCGCTTTGTTTGTTTCCATATCTCCACCAACCTATATTACTTTTTATAATTTCGACCCTGTCCTACCCACCGTGTTGTGTGGTTGTGTGTTAATGTTTGCAGTGCTGAGCTGACTTCTAAATTAATTATCTTCGTGGGTGGGATCAATCATTTTAACCTTAGCTAAATTCTTTTGTTCTGACAGCCGATCTCAATATTGCTGCCTGATCTACTCGTCTGATTCACCTATGTGGGTAGTTGACCTAACTCGCAGTCATTGCAAGGTATTTTGTAAATTATATTTGATTTTATTCACTCAAATGTCTAATCATCATCAATTTTTACTTATGCATGTATATAAACGACGAAGCAAGAAAGTGAGTGGTGTGCCTTTAAATGATTATTATTGTGAGTAGTAGCAATGATAAATTGTGCTCGAAGTGTGTTGTGGTACCATCGGTAAATATTCCTGCATAACAAACACACTGTGTGTGTGACACATTTTATCCATCATGGAGTTATACTCTACCACCACAGTATGCCGCCCTAGTTTCATCCTTATTTCTTTGGGAATTGTTTGGTGTGTTATTCTTGTGGACAGAGGTTCGATCCTGTGGATTCTGTAACAATACTATTATTCCCTTTTTTGTTAGATGCTGACATTAAAAACATTGTACTACACAACTTTTGTTTAAAAGGCTTCGTCTTGAAGTACACATAACTTCGGAGTACAATCTAAAATACAGTGTACTGCTGGTCGCTTCGTCTTGTCAACAGGCTATACTGTCTACTTGTTTCACGACTAACCGTGTTGTATACTTTGGATTTTTGCAGGAACCTTATATCCTCCTCATCCAGAGACCATTCTACAACGGGTGCACAGCTTCTACCAGTAGATACGACTTCACCAGTGAACAGAATCAGATATCAGTGAACTACCATTTCTAGACTGCCTAGTTAAGAGACGGGAAAACGGGCAGTTTAGTATATCTATATTCAGGAAGAAAATCCACTCCAATAAATATTTAGACTTTGGATCATCAAACCCCATCAGCCCACACGTATCACTTGTTTCTAGTATTCTTAGACGAGCCCACTCTTTGATGTTAACGGATGAGAAAGAAAAGAAGAAGGAATATCAAACATTAGTGAAACTCTCAAGCAAAACAACTGCCCAAAGAACTTCATCAACAAAATTAACACTGACATTAAGTGTGGTCGAAAACGTATTCTGAAAACACGGACATCAACAGTTATCATTCCATATAGATCGGAGACGTCAGACAATACCATCAGAGGAGTACTCAATGAACTCGACATCAGAGTTCTCTTCAAAAAATCAGACACACTGCAAAGTAACTGTGTCCAGATAAAAGACCGAATCCCTAGAGATTCTCTATTTAATAGTGTCCAAAAAATAAAATGCTCGGAATCTGATTGGATAATATACATCGGAAAGAGATCGCTAGAGAGAAATCAAGGTGATCAGAAGAAATGAAAAGCGTAGAGCTACATCCGTTCGACCATGGAGAAGTAAATCCAGTTGAACTAGAAAAGCTTGATAAATCACCAACCATTTATCGTCTACACACTAAGCTATAAAATTAATCAGGTCACAAAATTGATTTTGACAATACTGAAATTATCATCCAGAAATAGTTTCAGAAATCACAAAGAACATCTGATGTCATCGGAAACACTCAACATCAATTGGAATCCAAATTGTCTTAGCTGAATAGTAATGATGAACTAAAACAGTTTGTCCTGGTTAAGACACACACACACCACCTCCTCCATGAAGTGACACAATTAACACCAATGTGATAAGCAATTCCATTATTTAAACACACGCTGTTTCTATAGTTTCACACACTTATCAAATCCAACAATCTACACCTGGTTTTGTTATCTTTACCAATTGGCCAACTTGACAACGAAAAATGACCCCATAATGAGGATCGATGATCAAGTTAGTAAACTTTGTTTTGATACCAAAACAGATGTACTGTTACCTCTGTTACTTGGTTTAGTGATCTTCATTGTTATTTTGACCTTGAATATGTCCTTTTACCTTGACCTAAGTCTACTTTCTCACCTCTTAACTCTGTTATATATATGCTGCGATTTTGTAAATTCTGGCTTAATAATACTTGGATAAAGTTGTTAGCATTAAATAGCGAAAAGTCAGTAAAAACAATATCCTTTTGTTTTTCATTCATTGGGAAATAGAAGAAAACCTTTATTATAATGAGACCAAAAGAAGATAATGGCCTGGTAGACAGAACACAGTTATCCGCAGAAGAGATAATTAAAGGGCTGGAATTCTATCTGACAACAACATATTTTACATTTGGAGGAAAAATATACCAACAAAATTAAGCAGTAGCTATGGAATCACCCATCTCACCAATAGCAGCTGACATATTCATGGATTATTGGGAAGAGAATGCACTTAAACCATTCAGGTCATCAATAAAGTGTTGATGGCGATATGTAGACGACACGTTAGTAATAATGAGAAAAAATCGATGTTGAGAAATTCTTCTCATACACATAAATTGTCATGTCGAGTGAATAAAATTCATTATGGAAATAGAGAATGAAATTTGGAAACTGCCTATGTTAGACTGAAAAATTCAAAGAGTAACAGATGGTAGCATATAGAGGACGCTATGTAGAAAAACTACGCACTCTAGAAGATTCCTTAATTATCACTCATCTCATCCACTCACGGTAGAACGAGGATTTATACAAGGTCTTGCAGATAGAAAACGTAGACTTACAATAACACCAGATGACCAGCGTAAAGAAATAAACGTCCTATTCAAAATGTTACTCGATAACAACTACCCAGAAGAATTTATCAAAGAAAATATAAAAAAGAGAAAAAATAGGGTAAAATCGGGGAATGACAACATGGAAGAATGCATAAAACAGTCACAATACCATACAAAAGTGGTACATCAGAGGCAATTCGAAGAAACCTCAAAAATATTGGGATTCGCATCAAGTTTAAACCAACGAATCTAATCCAACAGTTGGTGTGATGATCAGGGACAGGAGTAATTTCGCTCAGAATATTACCAAAAACAATCAAAAACTTATCATTGTGTGTAAACCACTGAAATATAATTATGCCTAATTTGCTGTATTCCCCAATGCTCAAACTTTTTACTGACAATAATTCTGTTTTTCATAAATATATATGTTTTCCACAACCAAAAATGGCCTCCTCCACGTGATTGGTGCGTTCAAGGTCATTCACTAATAGGTAGTTGGTGGGTGGGTGGTGCTTAAAGTTTAACTTTGCTTTAATCTTAAAAAAGTTAAGCAGCCGAAACTAATTCTCTATGAAAATATGACACAGAAACAGACTTGACAGTAATTGTCTCTACTCACCTTCACAATGTTTTCCATCTGCATTGAGTTCATAACCAATTTCACATTGACATCGATAACCACCGAGTGTATTGACACAGGTATGTGAACAACCATGCTTCATTGTTTTGCATTCATCAAATTCTAAAATAGTGAAAATATCATAAAATGATTGATTCACAATTAGCATTAAGACATCAAGAGAGAATGTTATAATAATATTCAACGAAAAGGCTCTTTTTCAACAATGAATTTATTATCAAGCTATGCAATCGTATATATCTATCCATCCCGAGCAAAATACTAAACAGCATCATCTTAGAGAGAATCAAACATGCCGCCCTGGATGAAAAACGTTGACAGGAACAGGCTAGATTCAAGAGTAACAAGTCATGCATCGTCGCAACCCTAAGCATCATCATTGAACAGAGCTTGGAATGGTAGTCAGTCAGCTCTCTATCTCAACTTCAGTGACTTTGAAAAGGCCTTCAGAAGACAGTGTGGATAGAGAGGTGATTTGGCAACTACTTCAATATTAGGGGTTGCCTCCAACAATAATATACCTCATCCAGCAGTTGTACAATACTGCTGCGTGTCCAGTAATCCACAGTGTGAAACTCATGGAATCCTTTGAAGTGAAGACGGGAATAAGGCAAGGCTGTCTACTATCTCCAGTGATTTTCTTGATTGCGGTAGACTGACTGGATAATGCGACAGACACACAGCGGGCAACGAGGAGACAGGCATGAAATGGACCCACACAAAAACAACTTGGAGGCTCTGGATCAGTAATTCGACGGTGATATATATCTCTCATTTCCTACAAACTGCTGAAAGATATGCATGTAAAAAGCAACAAGTTGGCAGAAGAAGCATCAAGAGAAGATAGGACATTGAGAAGACAGAGGTGATGATGAAGATTCCTAGCCAACAGCAACAACAACAGACAACAATCAGCAATAATGGGGGAAATCTGAAAGAAGTAACCTTCTATAACTACCTACTAACCTACCTGGGAAGCATCATTTCAACTACAGGCGGACGGAACTGATGAAGATATCATAAAAGTGGGAGGATCAGGAAAGCAAGGTAAGCTTTTATTACTCTCATCAAGTCTGTGTGGATATGAACAGCACTCAGTATGAAAATGAAAATAAGATCCGGATTTTCTACTACAATGTGAAGTCAGTGCTACTTGCTATTCGAATCAGAGACTTGGCGTGTCACGAAGGGCACCTCGAACAAACTACAAACCATCAACAGCTGTCTTCGCTCAGTACTTCGCTTGCTCAAGATCAGATGACGAGCCAGGAAAGATCAGCAACAAGGATCTGTGGCAATGAACGAACCGACCCAGAAGGAACCGATTGCGCTAGAAATATGCAGGAAAAATTGGAGGTGGAGTGGACTGTGGCCATACTCTGAGAAAACAAACTATCAATTGACATCACACGTCAGGCCATCGCTGGAGTGGAACCTGAAAGAGAAGCGATGAGTTGGTTGTGAGTGTGAGGGTGACATGGAGGAGGTGATGAGGAAAGGGGATGAAAGTGTGTGAGTAGACGCGTAAAGCGAGGTGGAAACGTCGTCGTAGAACCGAATGCAATGGAGACGTGCGGCTGAAGCCCTACTATCATCTAGGAACTAAAGGAAACAATAGCATAATTATATGGTATACGAGTTTGACTTGTAACCGGAAGCTTCTGGGTTCGAAACCCCTGACGGTGGATGCATACTGTCGACGATTCTCAAACTAGGCGGACGAATCAGCTGTCTGGCAGTACACTCCCTGTGAGTGGTTTCCAATGGTTCTCCAACTGATGTCAATCCGTAGTCAAACTCGAAATAAACCTAATCCTTACAAACCAACTCTTGAAAAATTACATATATATGTCTATTTTAAAAATTATATTCCGTGAGGCAATTGAATCATAGGTGTGAATACATGAGATAATAATAATAGTATCAAATGTAATTAAAATGCAAGAACATATACCAGCAGTATGGTTTATACAAGGGGGATAGGTAGTGTGTGAGAAGGTGTATTCTAGAACAACACTTGATCGACTTCTGTGTCACTCCACAACAACCCTGACCATGATTTTAAGATCATCTATCGAATGCATGCTAACTTGCTGGTCACGTTTTCTTCGTTATGGACTTCTAAAGAAAATGGAGGCCTTGGCTATTCATTCATGAATTTAAGACAGCCAGACCTTTGTGTACGAAAGATGTATGTACAATCCCTACTTCTGCCTCGGCCGTAGAGGGATATCCACTTATTTATTCATTTTGTTTACTTAGTTAATCTATGTAACTTTCCCTCATTAATAAGACTATTATTATTACTATTACTATTCTCACTTCAAATTGTTTCTACTTGTCCCACTTGTCATTCTAAATCCGAAAATTGACTTCACACTGTTGAATTCTATCTCATGAAATTTCACACCATATTATATAACATGTTATATTAGCCTACTAACCCTATAATTATACACCTCTATCCAACATCTGTAAATGTTATGAATTATTGTTTATGTGACATTAATTGTTCTGCTACTTGACACTGAACTATGATTGTAATGATAAATATTTTAACTGCATTTCATACTACTACTATTATTATTTCAAGTGTTCATACCTTTGATGCAATTCCCTCATCGGACATAATTTCTTAAAAACTATATATATACGGTTGTACAGCTTGATAATAAATTCCTTAGGAAGGATCTCTTCGCTAATGACCGACTATGCATGATGAAGTTGACCGGAAGGAGTTCTAGGAACACTTTGCCACTGATGGTAATGCCTTTTGTTCATGCTAAATGTATCACAAATTGGCAGAAGTCGAAATTCATGCGGTGGCCACTGAATTTGTTCACAGTGGTTAAATGGTCTACGAGCCCTTTATGTGTAGCTAGAAGTTTCTGGGTTTGAATCCCTGTAGTGGATGCGTAATGATGTGGGAGTCGTCAATTGGGGGACGAAACATTCCTGTCCAGTTCTTTAACTGACATCATCATCAATCTGTGATCAAACCTGATAAAAATATGTATCTGATCTGATCTAATTTCCAATAGAGTTTAAGAATAAGATTAGTGATCAAATTTTAGGGAGTAATTCAAGTGCTCCAATGTGCTTGGTGCGTTTTCTATTGTACAACAGAATTCATAAGTGGTTGTGTGGTGAAAGTCACATTTTAACGTTGTACCGATTGTTGTACAGATGTTTTGAAGTCTCACTAGCACTCAGACTATTTTTTATTAGATATACTAGAAAGTCAGTTCGTCGGGTATTTGATTCGTTTCAACTTTGGTCATGGATTGATATCAGTTGCAGAACCACTTAAAACGAATAGGGAGTACTAGGCAGAGAACTGTTTCATCAACCTAGTTTGGGACTCATCGGCAGTACATATCCGCCAAGGTTCGAATCTAGGACCTTTCGGTCACAAGGATCTTGAAAATTAATCTGATACTCACTAGTGACAGCTAGCTACAGGACTAACTTGACTAGAGGGATTCTTAGTGAGAAGTTGTGAGGAAAAATATTCTCAGGTGATGATACTGGCTGGTGGTCATGCTAAATGTATCACAAATCGGTAGAAGTTGGAATCCATGCGCTGGCCATTGAGTTGGGTCCCATTGGTTAAATGGTCTATGCGCTATCTGTGTGTAATCGGAAATTCCTGTGATGGGTGGGTGCGTGCTGCCAATGATTCCCAAACTAGGCGGATGAGACTGGCATCCAGTGGTTCTGCAACTGACGTAAGTTTGCGCAAAAGTTTAAGGATGTGTGTAGGCAACTGTATCTACTCGCAGACGCATCCCTGCTCATCCACCTGCATAATTTTTGTTCGCGTAAGTTATAAGTTTATCCTGTTCCCTTGTTTCTTCTCAGATGTTTAGCTGTATTGCCACTGGTGTAGTATCGGCAGCTGAATCAGATTAAGGTTGAAACAGAGTGTTAGTTATAATGTAATCCAAAGAGGAAAACAACCATCATGCACTAACTTAAGATATCGAACAAAGGAACTGCTTGTTCACCAACCATTTATTTACTCAATAAAACAAAAATATATGTACCTATTATTATTGTTCCCTTGGGTTACGTGTGGATAGATATGACTTCAAAAGACCATCTCCACTATCTCCTATTTTCTGCTGTCCTCCTCAGCTGGCTAGCTTCACGATTTCCCATAATCTCTCGTTTCCTCCTCCAACTCATATGATCTCCTCCATGTTACCCTCTCACCAACGACCCACTCATCGCTTCCCATTTGGATCCCAGTCGAGAGATGGCCTGCATTGCGCGCGATCTCAGTTGAAGTCCTTCTTCCTCAGTGTGTATGCTCGATCAATCCATCTCCATTTTCTCCTACATATTTTTTGAGCAATCGGCTCTTGGTTGATTCGTTCATTCATTGCCAGAGTTTCTTGTTAATAATTCTTTCTGACCAGCCAACCGGCCATTGCATCTTGAGTATGCAGGTAGCCAGCGAAGTCAGCACCCGTTAGTAAAGGTCTGCAGTGAGCTGTCTGAAATGCTTTGCGTAATACGCATTGCAAGTTTCTGACCCGAATAAAAGGAGCGACCGACTGACTTCATTTTGGTGTTGAATAGAATCCGAATCTTGTTGTTCTTACTGAGGCTGAGTGCAGAAGATTTCGAAACTGGTTTCAGGTAGATAAAGGCGTATGTTGCATGCCTTTCCAATTCTGCTGGCTGGTTTTGACATCTTCATCCGTTCCGACTGCCTATAGTTGAAACGCTGCTGCCTAGCCAGATAAATATAGACAGGAAGTAACTTCTGTTAAATCTCTCCCATTGATGGGGATTGGTGCTGGTTGTTGTTGCTGTAGCTGTTGCTGGTGGTTGGTAATCTTCATCACCTCAGTCTCTATCTTCTATATGTTCACCTGCAGTCCTGTCTTAGCTGGCTGCCAGTTTTTTGATTTTCGCCAGTAAGTTTCCAGTTTGTGTGAAATTAAACATAACTCATACACACCCACAATCCATATCTTCTAGAGTCTTCTCATTAGTCAGTGCAGTGTATTCATGTCTTCTCACTCACTCACTCCCAGCACACAGCCTGATGGATAATCCAGTCCACCACAATTGACAAAATCATCGTTGATGATAACAGGCAGCTACCTAGCCAGTCAGCCATGTCTTACTCCCGTATGTACCTCAAACGCCTCGCTCAGTTGACACCTGGCAGTGTCACTTAGCCAGCCAGCTGTTGAATAAGGTTGATAAAGATTTAGGCAATGCACTGCACACCGTGGTGTTGAATCAGTTTCCAAATTACTTCTCGGTCAACGCTTTCCGTCGAAAGCCTTCTCGAATTCGATGAAGTTGTTGAGGTAGAGAGACAGAGAAGTTTGACTACCATTCTACACTTTACTCTGTGATAATGATGGTGCGTAGAGTTACAATTTGATGAGAACATGATTTATCTTCCCTGAAGCAAGCCAGCTTGTTCTGGGCAGTTGGGTTAACGGAGTTCTGTATCCTTTATCCTCTCGAGGATGATGCACCTATAGAGGAATGCAAGTAGTCTCGCCTTTAATTAAAACCGTATAACAAATTCCCTGGTATTGCGTAATCATTTAAACTTTACTAAATTGCTGAAATAATTAGGTTATCATTTCTTCATACAAAAAAGAAGAACAAGAAACAAAATAAACAAAATTACCTTTCTGAAAAGTGGCTGTGAATCCTTGTTTCTCTACAGAACTATCCGATACAAATTTCACATACATCACATTATTCGTCGACTTTATTGGCGTAGGCAATTGAGATCCACACAATTTCTTCAACAGTGGAGATGTCTCCTTTAACCCATCACGGATTTCCAGGTAATCGTATACACAAGTATCATGTTTTTCAAGCTGAAAAAGTTTTATTTATTTATTTTGGAAATATATTAGTAAGAATTAAATTTAAGCAATATAAGTTAAGATTGACATAAAATTTAAACCATCATCATTGGATGGAGCAGCCAGCTGACAAACTTTTACTGTTGGCTATCCATCAGTCCCCACCGTCGGAATCTGATAATATCTCTTGTGACTAGAATCTGTAGAATATGCAGCCCCGTGAATCAGTAGGAGAGGAGATCCCTCTCTTTTGAGGAAGACACTACTTGAGAATGGCTATCTCCCCACCACCACCGCCACCACACCTTATATATAAACATATAAAGCCGAAAAGTCAACAAAGAATAACCCATTTGTGTGCCGAAGAAGATGATATACATGAATTTGGCGTCCTTCTGGCCTTGAAAAGAACATTCTCTGATGCTGTTACATGACGATTGGTATTCTCAGTCCCCCGCCCAAAGATAAACTATCGCATTTAACCACTTCTATGTGTATCTACCTACCGATTTAATTACTCATGTGGGGCCGGCGAGGTATATGTAGGTCGTTCGATGGGTGTTTCACTCAAAACAGTCAAAGAACATTATCCTGATTGGATAACTATGAAAAGATAACAGTCGATCAATAAAGAGTGCTATACAGTTGAACATATATAGTGAACACTGGTCACACAATATGTGTAAGGAGAATTCATTCAAAGTCAAAAGAAGCCTCCCGTTGGAAAACACTAAGCTTCTGTGTACTTCGCATTGCTCAGTGAGGCCTTAGCGACGATCCGCATAGAAAACGCTGATTTATGCACAGAGGAGAAGAAACTTCACAGCCTCCTTCTACCTAGGGTGTAATTTCAAGTTCTACGACTTTGTTAATAGAGTATTGTTTTCTTTTTTATCGGTTTTTTTGAATTTTGTATGGTATCTTAGAAACATCTTCTTCCTCTTAACCAACCCTTTCCTTACTCTTTCCACCTACTGCTTAATTTGATTCTTTTGGATAAATGTGTCCATTAACATCCTATTTCATATTAGGCAACCCTTGTCAATACTTACCAATCTTCACCCCCCTAGTTACATTTTGATGACGTGAACAGTAACCCTAACTAACTTTTATTTTATTTTTGTTTGACAATCCTAGTGTACGCACGCACATACACAAAATAATTATCTAATAAAGCGATTGTACAGCTGAGCTAAGTGGTGAATGAATTCGCCGCCGGTGGTGAAAAGAGACTCTTCGTTGAACATTTTTGTTCTTCTATTCTTGTCTGGATGGGTATTTTACATGAATCATTGGAAATTGACGAATTTCTTGCATATTGTAATTAGGAGCGATGGTATTGTTGGATTATCCGCTGTTGGACAAATTTCTAGAACAATAAGTTTAGTTCAGTCTAGGTGCCACAGTGGTATTGGAATCAATGCAGTTTGTTAGACGTCTGGTTAAATACCTCCTGTTCCTGCCTCAAGCGTCAATCATCCTAGTTATTCACGAAATACCGATCGACACCCAAAAATGAAACCTCCATTATCATCTTACTGGCATTGTAGTGCTTAGCAAATTCTGTCAAATCTTGTCCGTATAACCGACACTATTGCAATGACTGCAGTAATCTTCGATGGTTTTAGCCCACAGCACACACACAACAACCCTTCCACTCACCATTATAGACAAGTGCCCACAGATACTGTTGTCACTTAGCGCTTGCCTACCAAAAGTGCATTCCTGCCTGCACTTTACGTCCCCAACTTGTCACTACGCCTGTTTCCCGATGAAAGAGACTTGTACTATATGCTTCGATAGCATAGGTTGATACCAAACTCTCTCACCTCGTACTACAGTTTGTTCTGAAGGGTGTTACAGTTTCTCATTTTCTGATGAGAAGGAGGTCAAAAATGCTCCAGACCTTCCAGTAAAAACAATTAATCACTCCCTCGACATCGGTCAGTCAGGTGCAGGCAATAGACTGTGCAATTCCAGGTTGTCTCTTCTAAGAGGAAAGGTGATATGTAGACAAATAGATAATCATCTCTCACGGCTAAGTGAGTGGCCGTAAATATGGATGACTGTTAATTTTCGTAGATGTATTGTGGTTGTATTGAAATGTTTCCATCTCACGTCGTTGTTTGTTCTCGCTTAAATCAAGAAGGATTCATGATTAGCGTGTCTCTGTCCAGCTCAATATACTGTAGATATACAAAGCGACTACATTATATTATAATATTATTATTATTCCCTTGGGTGCCAAGTTGAATATAGGGCTGGCTTCAACAGCACATCTCCACTCAGAAAATAGAATAGAGTTGAGATTCAATTCTATTTTCTCCTATCCTCTTTACCTGCCTCACCCCAAAATTTCCTATACTGTCTCATCTCCTCAAACTCACACGATTGCCTCCGTGTATACAATAGCATTAACCACCCACTCTTCGCTTCCCATTCACTTTTCACTGAAGCGATGGTCTGCATTGCGCGCGATATCATTTGACGGCCTCCTCAATGTATGCCCAATCCATCCATCTCCATTTTCTTCTACATATTTGCTGAGCCATCGGCTCTTTAATTAGTTTGTTCATCGCAGCCAGAGTTTCTTGTTACTAATTCTTTCTGGCCAGTCATTTGATCTTCAGTTTGGAGTGAAGGCGGCTGTTGGTAAAAGTCTGCAACAGGCTTTTGGAAATTCTTTTCGTGACACACCTGCAGTGCACGTTTTTTACCCGCGTAGACTAAATGACTGACTGACTTCACCGACATTTGTGTTGAATAGAATCCGAATCTCGTTCTTTATGCTGAGGCGGAGTACAGTGCAGAAGATTTCCAAACTGGTTTCAGGTAGATGAAGGCGTGTCTTGCATGTCATTTCGATTCTGGATGACTGATTGGTTGGCTTTGACGTCCTCATCCGTTCCAATCGCCTGTAGTTGAAACGATGTTTCCTAGCCAGATAAGTGAAGGAGCTAATCACTGTTAAATCTCTCCCAATGGCGGTGATTGGTACCGTTTGTTGTTGCTGTTGCTGTCGGTGGTGGTGGTTGTTTATCTTCATTACCTCCGTCTCCATCTTCTCTGTGTTCACCTGGAGTTCATCGGTCTTCACCATCAGCTTCTTCAGACAGTTTGTTGGTTTTCGCCAGTAAGTCTTCGATTTTGTGTGACATTAGACATGTATGATCCACAGGCGAAATCCAGATCTCCTAGAGTCTGCTTATCGGTCAGTGCAGCGTATTCCAGTCTCCTCACTCCCTGTGCACAGTCTTACGCATAATCCAGTCCATCCCAATTAAGAATATCATCCGTGTTAATAACAGGCAATAATAATGATGATAATAATTGTAAAGTGAATGGTCACATAAAATGATTGAAAATAGACAGGGTTATATATGTTTTTTTAATGATTTTCCACATTAATTAGACAAATTAATATCTCCATAACTGCTGAGGAAATTTGTCATATTCATAAAAGAACTACTGGGTCAGAAGTAAACAGTGAAACTGAATACAAATTTCACTTTGTTTGACCAGCTCTATGTGAGAGTACAACAAAAATCTTTCCAGCATTTCAAATGAACAAATAAGTCGTCTCGAATAGCTTTCAGAACAACACCAGCCTCCCACCTTGGCAACAACGACCTTTTCACATGAGGCGACAGTACTGGCTGTATAAGGAGTGCTATAATCGAACATCTCGTCATGAACTCTGGTCATTATTTTATCTCAACAAATGCCTCCTGCTTCAAAGTGATCAACAGAGGAGAGAATAAGTTACCAAAGACAATACACTTTCGTCTCCTTCGTTCATTGCTGAAGCCTTAGCCATTCATTCAGTTGAAAAAACCGAAGTTATGACATACAAAAGAAAATCATTCAATCACTTCCACTATTATGGTAGCAAACGTGTTCACCCCTACTGACTTGATGTTTGTGTACTTGTATTTTGATAACTCCTGATAACATTTGTAATTTTTAGAATTCTTACAAAACTCCATATTTTCCTTTTTTTCTATGTGCATCCTAATGACACCTCACTCACTCATTAAACTATCCACCTTATTACGTAAATCACTGTATTGCTCCTATTCAGCTTCGTTTTATGTGCTGATCGACATTAATAACTGTTTTTGACAACACATCCCCATTACTGCCTCACCAGTCTTCATCCCCACCCACTCCGGCAGTTACAATTTGATTAGTTTTCAATTATTGCTTTTATAGGGATTTTGTTTGATTGGTTGGATTATCTTGAAGTGACATCGGTTTGAGAACCATTGGAAAACTAAGAATTGGCAGAAGTTAGAATTCATGGACTGGCTGGCTGACTACTGGATCGGGTCGGGTCCCAGTGAGTGGCTGCTTAATGGTCTACGACCTAGCTCACATTGTAGCCAGAAGGTGTTCCTGGGTTCGAACCCTATCGGTGAGATGGGTGGGTGCCTACTACTGAAGAGTCAGTCGAGCCTAAGCACTAGGATGGAGGTAACAGCTGTGTTGCAGTACTCCGTGTGTCTGGTTTTCCGATGGTGATTATCTGACCAACCGATGTCAGTGCTCATGATGAAACTCTCCAGCGAACCAAATCAAACAAAATTCCCCACAAAAACCAATACTCGAAAGGTGAATATTATTTTGTAATATCAACTTTGTTTCTCTAATTGACGAGAAAACTCCAAGACCCCCACAATATATAACTTTTCATTTTCAATAATATTATCAAATTCTATACAAACATAGGAATGATAAATACTTACCTGAAAAGAATGAAATATCAAAGCGACTGAATAACCAACTGGTACAATAATTTGCCATATACATTCTTTACTTGGTCGATAAAATTCTGGATAATTTGGACTCGTGAGGGTACCTTCTTCCATGTGTAGTTCTCCACCACAGATAGCTTAACAAAGATAATATAAGGGAACACACACACGCACAAAAATTAAGTCTAGATATGATGGAGGAGATTTGTAGCTTTCAGACGGGTGATTTTTGATGTAATTGTGTTCTCTGATCTAGGTGGCTGGATGGTCCATTTGCAAAGCTTTCATTTGTACCCTCCTACTAGGCAACATTTTCAGCGCATACTTCAATTTGAATTGAAGTGAACTTTTAGATTTCTCCACGAGTTTATTTGTCATCTCTCCTAGTGAGTAATGAACTTGAAGGTGATTGGTTGTTTTTGCTTGTTTTCATACCCTCTAGGCTACTTGTATTGTTATTGGTGCTGATTGTTTCCTTGACCCCTCAAGACTGACCCTTTGTGTGTGTGTGTGTGTGAGAATTCCTTCTTATCGATTGGAAGATTTTGCCTATTTCTTTGAAGCAGGCTTCTAGAAATTCTCTATCATTCTTGGTGTTTCCTCTGTCTAATATTTGAACGCTGGTTGTCCCAGTTGGGAAGCATCGACATAGACAAAATTTACCAGTTGATAATAAGGGAATCTCACACACACAAAGGTTCAAACTTCCTGTCAAGCAAACAATCAACACGAATAACTATAGAAGTAGCTTTGATTGACTGACTGGTTTCAACATAGAACTCTGCACCGATATGCACCAGTTCAATTTGCCCACAACACTTCACTCAGCACACAAAGCAATTAAATAAAGTAAAAAAGCGAAATAGAGACAGTGAACAGAGATATGAGGCAAGAAAAATAGTAATATAGAAGAACAATATAGCTTTATTGGATATTATAAGTCACAAGGAATGGATGCATTTGCAGCAGCCATCCGTTGAGAACGATTCTGAGCCGGCCATATCACCGATTGTCTCCAGCCTCCATTGGTTTTTACCATCCCATAGACTACAAATATGAAGCCAGTCTTCATCTTCCTGCCTGACTGGCCTAAACTAACTGTTGTGGATTTCACTGACTGATGAAGCCATGTTAGTTTTGGTTTGACCACCACTGGTTAACTATTTTCCAACCTGATCTATCCTATCTCAGTCAGCTCACATTGCCTGTCATCGAGGAAGGCGAATGCTAGTCATGAATACGTAACACATGTCCTAACCATCCATTTCAAACGATATAACTGCTCCACAACCTCGTTGATTGATTTCCGCTCCTCCTCACCTAGTACTCGACCAATGCCTAACCTCAATATTGATCACCCCATTATACCACCACCTGAGACAGGAGATAGAACGCAGACACTTATGATTAAACACAATTAGATAGCCAGTCTTTTCATGTGTTCCACAGTGTGAATGGCCACGTCTCACTCAGCCAGGCAGTCATAAAGGAGGATGGAGCAGACTACTTCTGAGCAGTACACATGCCCTCTGGTCGAAAGCCAGCCAGCCAGCCAGCTGGATATCAAGTCGACTAAGCCAGGGATGGCGTAAATTGGTATACGCGAAAAGAGCCTTATTTATCCGTGGTAAGATTTCGTCATCGATCAACCCATTGGGGCTGGTTGATGCAACTTCCTAAATAAGTAACAAGTAGCCTAGATGGTGTGAAAACACACAAAAACAACCAATCACGACGTTCAAGGTCACTATCGACTGGGAGAGGTGACTAATAACCTCGTGGAGTAATCTAAATTCTCACTTCAATTCAAATTTAAGTATGTGCGCGGAAGATATTGCCTATCTAGTAGGAGGGCATTGATGAAAAATGCTTTGCAAATAAACCACTATCCGTCTAGTGCCTTTGAAGCGAATACAGAAGTAAGATAAGGCTGGCTGGCTGCCTATTATAATCAACGATGATATTCTCAATTGTTGTGGACTGGATTATGCGTCAGACTGTGCGTCAGGAGTGAGTGAGAAGAGAAGAATACACTGCACTAACCGATAATAAGACTCTAGAAGATGTGGATTTCGCTTGTGGATGATTTATGTCGTTGAATGTCACACAGACACTAACTCGAAGACTTGCAGGCGAAAGCTGGCAACAAACTGGATGAACAGGCTGGCTGACTGGCTAGCTGGAAGCGAAGACAGGCTGCATCCAGGTGGATATAGAGAAGACGGAGACGGAGATGATGAAGGTAACCAACCAACGAAGAGCAACAACAACAGCAAACAGCACCAATCTCCATCAACGGGAGCAGCTTGACAGAGGTTACTTCCTACCTTCACCAGTTTGCAAATCTTATGCACTCAGCCTCAGAATAAACAACAAGATTCGGATTTTATTCAACTCAAATATGAAGTCAGTCAGTTGTTCTATATGGATCATAAACTTGCACTGCACGTGCGTTACGAAAGGCATTTCCATCAGGTGACTGCAGACTTTTATGAACAGCTTCGCTGGCTGGCTGGCTGTCTGCATACTGTAGATCAAATGGCCAGTCTGCCGGTTAGCTGACCAGAAAGCATTAGCAACAAGAAACTATGACTGGAAAATAAGCAAAAAAGAACCGATGACTGAACATATATGTAGGAGAAAATGGAGATGGATTGGTTGGGCATACATTGAGTAAGGAGGCCGTCGAATGACATCACGCTCAATGCAGGCCATTGCCCGAGTGGGATCTCAATGTGGAGTGATGAGTGAGTATTCGGTGCTATTGTGATAATGAGGAGATAGTGTGAGGAGGAGATGAGAGATTATGGGAAATCGTGAGGCTGGCCAGCTGAAGAGGACAGCAGAGAATAGACAAAAGTGTAGATGTGTTTTTGAAGCAGTAAGTTCTACTCGGAACCCAAGGGAATAATAATATATTAATAAAAATAATCACTCTGGTAAACATTGTCTCGTCATAAATCCACTGGTTTTCTGTTCAGAATTACAGGTTGTTGTTGTTATTGTTGCTGAAAGTGGCTGGTAATATGCAGTGAGCATCAATTTTACAGTCAACTGTTATTTTTAGTAGAAAGGGATGGTGAAACAGAAGATGAACTAGTACAAAGATGGATAACAGTGCAGAGAAACTGAGTTCAATTACGAAAGATGATAGATACATTTATGACACACTGTCAACTAAAACATAACAGGCTTAAGGTATGAAAAGACCCTAGGATATTATATTAGATAACCAGGTTCCTATCCCAGAAGAGACCAACACAGATGATGAAACCAATAAAAGATAATGAAGGGGGCCTTAATGACCAAATAGGAGAGACAAAAGAAACAATGGGCTAGTCACTTCAATTATGAACTGTTGCAACTCGTCGTAAAATACCAGCAACAGCTACAAAACTACTAGCAGAAGTTTTGAATTCCATGAAGTTACTGAAAATTGGAAAGCAGGACAGAAGTAAACGGAATTCCTCTTCAAGCACTAACAATGAACGAAGAGAAGTCAGAGGATATCCTGATATCATTACAACAGAAAGTTTGGAAAGAAAGAAAGGAAGACCACCTTGTCAAATTACCAAAGAAAGACAAATTAGGCCTCTACAAGAACTTGATAGGAATAATGCTCTCGTCCTCCCCAAATAAAATAATTAGTTGAGTCAACTTGGAAAGACTAAAAGATGCACTGGATGCATGTGGATACAGAGCTGCAGCCGAAAAAAACTGGATTCCGGGACATCAGATCACTTGCGGATGAAACTGTAACACTACGAATCATCATCAAACATAGTCTGCAACTACAGTTAATTCTCTGCCTTAATTACATCGACTTTGATTAGGACTTTGACAGGAATGACAATGAATTAACTTTGGAACTACACTATACTGCGTTCCACTTGGAACGCAGGGCTGGCTTCAACAAATCTCTACTTTGTTCTGTTTTCTGCCGTCCGCTCCACCTGGCTGTGCCCACGATTGACCAAACTCTGTCATCTCTTCCTCCCCAAACGATCCACTCCATGTCACCCTAGCACCGCCACCCACTCGTCGCTTTCCATTTGGATTCCACTCGAGCGATGGCCTACACTGTGTGCGATGTCATTCGGCAGTCTCCTTAGTGTATGCTCGATCCATTTCCACTTTCTCCCATATATTTGTTGAGCATTCGGCCCTTGGTTATTTTCTTCCGCTAGTTTCTTGTTACTTATTCTTTCTGGCCATATGATCTTCAGTAAGGAGGTAGTGAAGTGAGCAGCTGTTGATGAAAGTTTGCAACAAGCTGTTGGAAATCCTTTTCGTTACACACGTGCAGTGCAAGTTTCTGACCAGAATAGAAGAACCGACTTGACATTGGCGTTGAAAATGCGAATCTTGTTCCTCATGCTGAGTGCAGGAGATTTCGAAACTGGTTTCAGGTTGATGAAGGCGTGCGTATCTTGCCTTTCCGATTATGACTGGCTTTGACATCTTCATCCATTTCGCCTGGAGCTGAAACGATGCTTCATAGTCAGATAAGTGAAGGAGGCAATCTATGTTAAATCTCTCCTGTTGATGGTGACTGGTGCTGGTTGTTGTTACTCCAGCATTATGGAGTTCCCCAAACCTTTATAAACTTCATCCACAGGTTATATGATGGTGCTACACATGTGAAGCGACTCACAGGGGAATCTCATAGAAGCCTTAAAAGTGAAGAAATGATCACTGGTGCTATTACTGACTGTGATGAACGGGGTCGTTCAACAGACCGTGGGGATTGGAAATACGGGCACATTCTGTACTGAAAAGAGGACACTAGAAATTCTAGACTTCATGGATGGTTTGTGTGATATGCCGAAAAAACTTGAAGATACACAAGAGAACAACAGGAAGTTTTAGAAGAAGGAGCGATAATTGAACTTCAAATGGACATAGACAAGACAGCGGCAATGAAGTTGCCTAATCATGGACAACAACAACAACAAGCATCAATAGCTATCTTTGGGGGGGGATGTGTTGCAATCAACATAAAGAAGAAGAACCAGATCTTTTGCACTAAAATGAAATAATTGATTCAGTATGGGTAGAACCTTGGTGCATAAATGACAGAAAGCATGTCCAGTCTCGACATTGAAGATCAAGCGGTCAGAAGGAGTAAACAACAGAGAATTCTGAAAATAAACAAATCATGGAAAATACTCATCCAGATATGAATATAAGAACAACAAAGTTCAGCGAAGAGTCTCTTTTCACCATCGGCTACGAATTCACTCACCATTTAGCTGAGCTGTACAACCGCATTTGTATGTAATTTTTTCATGTGTGTATGTGCGGGTACACTAGGATTGTCAAACAAAAATAAAATAAAAATTAGTTAGGGTTACTGTTTACGTCATAATATGTTTCTAAAATGTGATCAATAATCAAAATTGTAACTAGCATTGGTTAGGGTGGGTAAAGATTGGTAATTATTGACAAAGGTTGCGTAGTATGAAATAGGATGTTAATGGAGGCACGTATCTAAAAGAGTCAAAGGACATTATCCTGATTGGATGACTACGAAAAGTCAACAGTGGATCAACAGTACTGACCAATCTTCACCGCCACCACTTACCCCCGCTAGTTACAATTTTAGCTATTCACCACATTTAGGAAACATTTTGATGACGTAAGCAGTAACCCTAACTAATTTTTAGTTTATTTTTGTTTGACAATCCTAATGTACACACACGCACACACACAAACAAAAATAATTAAGTATAAATGCTATTGTAGAGCTGAGCTAAGTGATGAATGAATTCTCCACCGGTGGCGAAAACAGACTCTTCGCTGAACTTTGCTGTTCTTTAGTAAATGAGTCAACCAAGAACCCCTCGCCCCGTAATATATTTAGAAGGAAACGTAAAATGATCGGTTGTACAGTCAGAAGGCTATTGTGAGATATAAAGTGTTAGGCACTCAGATGGAACCCGAATGAGAAACAACTAGTTGGACATGCGTTTGAGGATGATATGGAAGAGATCATATGCGGGTGGGTGGGTGGTAGGAAATGAAAGCGCTTATGAGCAGTCGCGGAATCAGCCAACTTTAGAGGACTGCTGAGAACAGAGAAAAATGGCGTTGGCTTGTTGAAGGCCTCCTCCTCCCATTTAGAACCCTAAGGAACATATTATAATAAAGGTTTTTTGTATTTCCCAATGAATGAAAAAGAAAACGATGTTGTTGATTCTAAATGATGTTTCACTGTTTAACGCTGTTGCTGCTAATAACTTTATCAAAGGAGTAATATTAAACCAGAAGAATTTACAAAATCTCAAGTTATATACAATAACAACTTAATCATTGTTCATCAGCATGGGGTCATTTCCCTCTTGTCAAGTTGGCCAACTGGTAAAGATAACAAAACCAAGTGTGTGTGTGTTGATTGTTGGATTTGATAAGTGTGTGAAACTATAGAAACAGCATGTGTTTACATAGTGAAATTGCTTATCACATTCGTGTTGATTGTGTCACTTCGTGGAGGAAGTGGGTTGTGTGCGTGTGTGTTGTAACCAGGTCAAATTCTGCTTTAGTCCATCATTCCTATTCAGTTCAGAAAATTTGAACTCCATTTGATATGAATTCCTTCTGATGATATGAGACGTTATTTGTGATTTCTGGAACTATTTCTGGATGATAAATTCAATATTGTCAAAATCAATTTTGTGGCCTGATTGTATAGCGTGTAGATCTATGGCTGATGATTTTCCGAGCTTTTCTAGTTCAACTGGACTTTCTTCTCGGTGGTCGAGCACAGATGCTCTACGGTGTTCATTTCTTCTGATTACCTTGATTTCTCTCTAGCGATCTTTGTCCAATGTATATCACATAACATTCCGAGCATGTTATTTTGTGGACACCATTAGATAGAGAATCTTTAGGGATTTGGTCTTTTATCTGGACAAGGTTGCTTTCTAGTGAGTGTGCGTGTCTGATATTTTGAAGAGAACTCTGATGTCCAGCTTATTAAGTTATCTTCTGATGATATCGTCTGATGTGTGTGTCTGTTGTGGCCCATCCATGTTTTCGGAATACGTTTTCGACCACACTTAATGTCAGTGTTGACTTTGTTGATGAAGTTCTTTTTGGGCAGTTGTTTTGCTCGAGAGTTTGACTAGTGTTTGATATTCCCTCTTCTTTTCTTTCTCATCCGTTAACATCAAAGAGTGGGCTCGTCTAAGAATACTAGAAACAAGTGATACGTGTGGGCTGATGGGGTTTGATGATCCAAAGTCTAAATATTTATTGGAGTGGATTTTCTTCCTGAATATAGATATACTAAACTGCCCGTTTTCCCGTCTCTTAACTAGGCAGTCTAGAAATGGTAGTTCACCGACGTCTGATTCTGCTTTCGAAGTAAACTGGATTCTGGGAGATAGATTGTTTATTTTCTCCAATTTGACAACTAAAAATGATCCCATTCTGAGGAACGATGATTAAGTTGTTATAAATAAGCTGAGATATTGTAAATTCTGGTTTAATGATACTTTGATAAAACTATTAGCATTAAATAGCGAAAAGTCAGTAAAAGCAATATCGTTTTGTTTTTCATTCATTCACTGGGAAATACAAAATAACTTTTATTGTAGTGAATGTCATATAACCCAATGCCTAAAGTTTTTCAAACTTTTAAAAGTGAAATTGGTTTACAGACATACATAATCTAGGGAATATCACTTAAAATTCAGTTATTTAGAATTGCCTTGCATTATATTAAACAGTCGATTCTTACCTTCATAATGAGCAATAAAACCTGTCGTCATACTTCCAGCTGATCGTCTATACTCTAACCAAAGACGTGATCCAGTTGAAATTAGCGGTGGAGGCAAAGTTTGACCACAATATCGACCTACAAAAAGAAATCAAATTTCATAATATCAATGATGTAGATTTCATTCGTAGACAAAATCAAAGGTATTAGTATCAAGGATAAAACCTTTGATATCTTTGGACATAACATCTTTATTCACAAATGTAACTCTAAGAAAAATAGTTAGGTACATATGTGAATAAGTATATAACCAACCAGTCAATAAATATTGGCATCATGAAGGAAGTCCTACAAGAACTGTTAATAAGGTGTACAATGAATGTAAATTTCAAATTTGATGGCACACTTCACAGGCAAGTGGACGAGGTGGCGATAGGTTCTACATTAGGTCCCGTTTTGGCAGATTTCTTTCTAAGTAAACTAGAAAATGAACCTTTGAATAATCTTATCAGGGAATTCTCATTTTATTGCCGGTATATTAATGACACCTCTATTACTTGTCAGAATGTTTCAGACAGAAACACAATAATAACTGAATTCAATGAAGTACATTCTCCGCTATGAAATTCAAGTGAGAAGAGGAATCCCAAAATAGAATTAATTGCCTTTGTAGATGTCCGTCCTCCTTACAAGAAAACCAGGTGGTAGTATAGAGAGAAGTCTGCATAGGGGAAGTACATGGACAAGACAATGTACACATTTTCACAGCTTCCTTCCTCTCCAGTACAAAACAAATTCGGTAAGTACTGTCACTAGGCCACACGGTGAGAGCTATATGCTCAGGAGAAGTAACTGAAGATGAATTAAGGATTGTATATGATGCCTTGATTTGAAATAGCCATTTTGACAAACTTATCCAGAAACACATGACAAAGAAAGAAGAAAAGGAATATTCACTATCCGTAGAGAAGAAGCCTTTATAAATACGACTGCAAATCAAGGGTGAAATACCCAGCGAAATAATTATGAAGAAGTTAAGAAAATCAGTTTTAAGAACATTTAATGTTGGGAAACTACAAGTCATATTTTCTACGCCACCGATGGTGATTGCCCAATTGAAAGATGAAGTACCTAGACTAGCCAAAACTAACTGTATCTAACAATTTAACTGCACTTGTGGTGGAGCGATTTATATTGACCGTTGCTCTACGAACTCGATTTTTTGTGCTAGGGAACATTTCCCAGTGTGGCTAAGTGAAGATGTAGTAAAAACCATCAACACTTCGATATTTGACCTCCTGGTCCAAACCAGCTAGCATTGAAGAATCCTTCTCCATCATCACCTTTAGAATACTAAATAAACTGCCAAAACCATCCAGATACTGCATGCTCCAAACATCAGTAGCACTCAAAACAGTAGTAGTACCACACATTTTCTTTACTATCAAACTTTCTTGATTCTCATAAATATAACATAACAATCTTCTGGTGGTGGTGTGATACACAGATAACAATGGGTTCCAACGGAATATTATTCACACAGTAAGCATCATTGTATATTTTTTGTGTTAACGTCTGAATACTATTCCCACAGTTCAATGCAGCGTTAGCAACAGAATACTATATATGTATGTATTTGAGCATTCTTTCACACGCTCAGTGATTGGTTAATAGAATATAAACTGTATAGATATATAAACAGCAGTTTGATCACCTTGGTTTGCATGTCTTGCCCTCTGCTGTTACATTTGGTGTCTCTACCTTCTGACAAATGAAAAGCCTATGCCCTGCAGTTTTTGAAGAAGGAGAAATACGCATCTTCTTACAGGACTTCGAGGTTGTTGTGGATTTGAATGGCATTCAAGATCCGTCAGAGAAGAGGCTGTTACTTGGAACGCTGCTGAGAGATCGGGCGAAGGCAGCATATGATAGTGTGAGGCGAAACACCGGCGAATACGCGCCAGCCAGCCAGTGTCGCACAAGCTGCTTCCAAAGTGAGCAGGATGATACACGGTCACCGTGAGATGAGGTCACGTGTATACGGTCAGAAATGCTAACAAAGAGAAGTGGATGAACATAAAGAAGGTCCGGGTCTGGATACAAGCTAAAAAAGCCGTCAGCACCAAGAACTGACTTCAGTTCAAAGTATTTGATTGGGGGAGGGGCGACGAATACGGTGGTGTGATACAGGCAGTGTGTTTCAATGGAATATGATTCTCACACATAATATTCTCACAGTCCAATACTGCGTTAGCAACAGAATACCATACTATATATAAATATTCGAACATTCTATTTCATGTCGTTTAGTGTGAACCGAAATCACACGCTCGCTCAGTGATTGGTTAAAGAACATAAGCTGTATAGATATAAAGAGCTATTTCATGACTTGAAAATATGCCTCTGCTTCCGCGTATGGCATTCTGATGTTATGTTGATGTGCCCTACACAAAGAATAATTAATATTAGACGGTTGGAGACAGTCGGCTACAGGAAGCCTTGCTCAACCCAGGTTTCGTGCTAGTTGGCACTCGCCCACCATCAGTCAGCAATGCATGTACCTGCAACCACATTGAAGGAACAACTCATGTCCCTTCTGAAAATCGAATCCGCGTCACCCGTTGACTACTGCAGTGAGTCAGAGATGTCACCAGCACTGAGCAGCTATTACGGCTCACGACTGACCTCTTGTAGGACTGACTGTATTGGATACTTTCGGACCAGTCTGCACCAAATAGAAGACTGGACACATTACACACTAGTGTCTAACTAAGTATCCTATAAAAAGTAAAGCATGATTACTCATCAAGTCAGATATTTACCAGTTGTACAGTTCAAGACAAAAATTCAATCCAGAAATATACAGACGCCATAGATGTAGTATAATATTCGCAATAGTATATACGTACGTACTAGTGAGTGATTGATTGACTCATTGATCTGAGTATTTGAAAAATAGTCAGTCAAACTGATGAGTAAATTTCACTAGTCATCGGATAGAGGCAAGCTACACACCAAATGCCATTTTTGTTCATTTATGGGTTAAGCTAACTAGTAGCATTATTCCTATGGATCCACCCAATTAGTATGTTCTATTAACCTTAGCTTTGTTTAGACTGGAATCCTTATGAGCTTAATATCTGCTGTCTAGATCACTATGAAGATCAACATTACTCTTCACGTGATCTCTTCCGAGTTAGTCAGGTCAATGATTAATGTCTGCAACAGATCGACATAGGCGTCTCAACATCTTATAGCTGATTAGTATTACGTTTTCTTTATTATCGTCATTAAACAAGTCATTTTTGATGACGAAAATTCAGCTAGCTGAATACCAAATGCCGAACAGACTTTTAAATGATAATTCAAAGTCCCAAACTAGGATGGAGGAAACGGCCGTCTGGTAGTACTCCTTGTGGCTGGTTTTCTCTAACCAACTGATGTCAGCGCATGATGAAATCCTCCAACCGATCATTCAGTAAATATAAATTTGGAATAAAATCATTCACTTGACTTATTTATTTAAATTTTGTCATGAATGAAGTTCAATTGTTAAAACTATGTCAGAAAGATGAAGTCAGTATCATCCGTTTCAAAAAGTCAACTAGATAACAGACATTTAAATTGAATTTTAGATTTTCCCATCCATTGATTGTCACTGATTGACTTCAAGTTATATTGACCAGACATCATCGGAACATCTGTACAAAGAGCTGAAATGTCAACCTGACACCGAGCATTTCAGTCCTGTCATTCGTTGGTAAAATGTAAATTGAACTAAATGCATCAATTAGAGACCCCTATAGTACAAGTAGTCTAATGTAGAACGCTTCGGCTGGTTTTGAAATTTTGGGCACTGGGTTCGAGCCTCAGTGGTGGGTAATGAAGGTGTACATCCTCTAGCTGAGGAGTCCTAAATAGGACGAAATGTGCGTTATCTTGGATCCCACTACTAATCAAATTATGATATTAAACAACACAATATGAATGAAATTCACAGGATAAATAATTCACTCATTAATGCAGTTATAGACAAAGTTGATCGCCTGCCAACTGAGTCTTTTCTAACTATTTGGGTGTATACTCAGGTATTGAATTGCACGGATTTGATTTGATTGCTTACACAAATTCATCATGAGGTGACATTGGTTAGAGAAACATTGGAAAACCAGCCACCTAGAGTACTGTCAGACAGCTGTTTCGTCAGCTCACTTTGTCACTGGCTCTTCATCAGTACTCGCCCACTGGCATTTGAAACGTTCTGCCTTCTGACCCCGGTGGTTGCGTACTTTTTGGGTATATGTTCTCCCACCAGCACACACAGAGCATGATTACTTCTCTCTATGAATATATGTATATACATATATTATGGAATTTGACGTAATCATTTGTGTACTCATGAGGCGTGTAGTGGAGCGTGTTATTTGATAAACTAGTAGGTTCTATGAATGACCGAGGTTAGTCTGTCTTAAAATCCTACTATCTTTATTGGACACTAGCCAGAAACTAGTGTGATGTGTCTGGTCTTTTGTTTAGTGCAGATTGAATTCTACCAGTCAGTCAGGTTTGCAATGTGCCCACCTCCAGCAAGTCAGTCACTAGCCGGAATAGATGCTCAGTGCTGGTAACATCTCTGACTCACTGCAGTAGTCAACGGGTGACGCGGATTCGAAGCTCAGAAGGGACATGAGTTGTTCCTTGAATGTGGTTGCAGAGACGCAACTTGCTAAGTGATGGTGGGTGAGTGCCAACTACGAAACCTTGGTCTAGTTCTAAGTCTTCCTATGACCGATTACCTCCAAATATCTAACATCCTACTATTTATTTCTCTATGGTAAGGTGATTTGATGTAGACATCTTTCTTTGACCAGGGAATAAACTGAAGGCTTCGAAAACTTCAAAAGATATCTGTTTTCTGTAAGTTAATCCCTCTCAATATTTCATTCTCATTACTGTAGTATCAGCTGTACAGATACGATTAGTCCTCTTAAGTAAACACTCATTCTGTGGTGAGAGCTGTCTGCTACCCAAAATTGGTAGACAGCGATTTACGTTAATGTTTGCCTCCCAAATTTCGGTTTTGAGAAAAACAAGAACAAAGACATTGCGTGGGTGGATACGATTCGCAGATAAATGGTCTGACCTTCAAAGAAACGGCCACAAAGAGATGACAGAATAACTTTCAGCAAGAAAACAACCAATCAGAAGACACTGTTTATCTGCTAAAGATAACGGATAATAACGTATATAAAAATCTATAAATATCTGTTGATTTCCTCAATAAACGATCTGTCACCTGACCCTTGTCTTCCGTCGTTATAATTCAAACCTCTCTTTTTAATTGTAATGCACAGAAACTATGAAAACTTAAATACAACCATATTCAAGTGGGTTTTCCATAAATTGATCGCCTCATTGAATCTTTCTTCTTTCTCTCCAAATCGAAAGTATGTCGAGAAATGTAAGTTGGTTCGTTTGCGGTTGCAGATACACCCTGCTGATAAGTGCCAGCTAGGACGAAACATAGGTCTAGGTCGTAGGCTTCCTATAGCCGATTACCTCCAGCCATCTAATATATAAACAGTTCAAAGTGCATCATGATAGTGAGTCAGCCACTACCTGGTATGGTGGCTACATTGTAAACTTGACTGACAGATAGAATTCAGACATCTATAAAAGACAAAATAATTGAGCAAAAAATATTCCTTTTCGGTAATTTCCTCCTCCTCTGGCTCTACAATTACATATATATGATTATACACACAAAAGATTCTGGAATAGTAGTCAATAACAATATTGGTGTGCTTTCTAAATACTATCGATTTGTTAAGTAAGATCACAATGGAATTACAGACAGTTCACTAAAGATGCGTAAATTATAACAAGAAGCATAAAAATGTAATGGTAAATAGAATATCAACTGAAATTAAGGAAATCTCTACAGCAACAAATTAAGGGACATTCAAACCTAGGCGGCCAAGGTAAGGACAGTGTGTGAACTAGCTTCTTTTGAATACATAAGTTAGGAATCTTAATGTGGATCCCAACAACCAACCTCAGCAATATTTAGTAGACGGACTCTTAAGGTGAAGTAAAGATTAGTCAGTTTGCGCGACAGATGACTTTGTATGCCACCTTGTTAACATCAATCAGTCTTGTGTTCTGTATCCTCGAGGTGAGACAGAATACCGATATGAATGGATTTTGTTTGTCTTTTACTTAACCAACCACTGTGCAGGATGATGTTTGGAAATCGGACGAGAAACACGCCTAATTGTACGGCCTATGTATCTAACAATTTAACTGCTCCTGTGGAGCCAATTACATAGGCCGTACAATTAGGCGTGTTTCTCGTCCGATTTCCAAACATCATCCAGATCACGAGTCCCAAAATAGAACGAAATGCGCATCCTGGTGGATTCTACTGCTAGTCACCATCCACCACTTAAATGTCTGTAATTCCATTGTGATCTTACTCATTAAATCGATATTATTTAAAATGCACACCAATATTGTTATTGACGAGACTATTCTAGAATATTCTATGTATATAAAGATGTATGTATATATAATTGTAGAGCCAAAAGAGGAGGAAATTATCGAAAAGGGTATTCTTTACTGCTCAATTATTTTGCATTTTATAGATGTCTGAATGAATATGTTTTAAAGCAAACACTATGTGAAGTAACGCTTACCAATTAACGGTGAACCAAAGTAATACCCATCCCGTATCTCCACATAGTCATTAATACATGAAATACGATGAACAGATTTCTGATTTAATTCATACGTTTTATGCGGACTCTTCAAATTAGTCGACGTGGGCATTGAATCTTGTGTAATAGGTCCAGATATATCTATATGAGTGAAATTTAAACGAATTCTCTCCCCAGAAGCTGCATTTATTCTCCATTGACATAGTATAGGACTGGCTGATGTGAATCCCAATGCAGAGGATACAGTTGATTTTGATGATCGACTCATTGCAATCATTGAAACTTCTTCAGCACTGAATGATCCTTTATATGAATTGTACGGATGACCATCATTGACCATACCAATGAGACTATGATCTTCGTTACCGTCAATGATGTTACCGTTTGTTAAAGGTTTATACGGATGATACATATTTTCACTGTCGTCTGGTAGAAGATGGGCTACGGATAAAGCATTACCCAATTGAATTGAATGTTCCATACCTATAGGATCTGGAAACAGTGAGGCGTTAGCACTTCCACGGAATTGATCCTCCAATTTCCATGCCATTTGTGGAGAGGATAAACTGCCAGCTGGTTCTAGAAGTGTACGACCACAGGCTGAAATAGTATTTAAGAATATTTTTTAGTTAATAGGTAAATATACTGTATAAAAACAGGAATAATAATGTTCTATTTAGATCAGAATGAACTGATTTCATCGCTTTCAAGATGTTAATTCATATAAATTAGAAAATGTTTCAATAATAATATTCAGCTAAAAATAATATTTAGACAAAGCAATAAGAAGTTAATTGGTGAATGGTTGCTGGAATCCAGGATAACGCGCATTTCGTCCAATTTGGAACTGGCTTGTCAGCTACTGGATGTAAACCTGCACTCGCCAAATAGTGGGCCACCATTGAGACTCGAACACAGTGCCCATAGTTTCAAACACCATCCATAGTCTCATCTGGTACACCACTTGGGCCACGACAGCCACATCTTTCTTGTGCGATACGTCTGATTAGTTGTGTTTGCCTTCACGTTTCCAGTGGAACATGGGGCCTCAAGCTAGTGGCTTGAAGTTTCTGTAGCAGTGTTTAATTTTTACAGGATGGGGTTGCTAGCCTCATGCCCAACCTTTCCTCTTTACCAGCATTATTTCTGGCTTAGCGAGGTAAAGAAGTGCGTCGGCCAGGGATTGAATCCCGGACCACGTGCATGGTAGGCGAGCATCCTAACCGACATGCCACCGACGCACCGTCTGATTAATTACTTAACTGAATCAATTTTAGATTTTCGCGTCCGTTGGTTGTGATTGGAGCGAAGTGCTGAATCTCAGTTTGACATATCTGTCGACTTCTTGTGCAGATTCTTCGACGATGTTTGGGCATGTTAATCGGTCCAATCAGTCGACGGGAAAAATCTAAAACTGAATTGAATAAAGCAATAAGAAGACGTAATTTGTCTGCTTAAATCTTGGGCTACACAAAATTTTCCATCATTTTTACTGAATCTGATTATCTGGATTTATTTTGTTTTGATTATTCAATGGAAATTTTACTCGCTATGTTTAAAGCCGAGGGGGCTTTGCCTAACACATACCAGCACATTATTCAATAGACGATAATTTGGCTGTCATATGATATAAAGCGGGAGACATAGAGAGAGAGAGAGGGATAGAGAGTTTACCTGGACAGGAATATAGTTTATTTGTCTGTCGAATATCACCGGGACTTAGTTGAATTCTTTGACCAATCGGTGGTCGAGGACAACAGGCTTTTGGTCTGATCGTCTCATCTTTATTTGCTTTCGCAAAGGTTCCTTTAGCATAATGCATGATAGAGCTGTAGTCATACGGTTCACCAAGGGAGTTCACTTCACCTGGATCCATTTTTTTAAAGTTGAAATCTTGTCCTTCAACAACATTGTCAAGTAGAATATCTACATGTTCTGTGAATAAAAAGGAATAAATAAATAAAAAACTTTTTAAACATTTAACTTAATGATAAAAAAATATCGGAAAAGTAACATATAATCACACCTGTTGTTATGCTTAATTCAACTGCTTTCAATCCAAATTGAAGATCAAATGATCACAAAGAATTATTATCATTATATTATTATTCTTTCCTTTAATTCCTAGAGGAACATAGGGCTTCAGACGCACGGCTACGTTGCAATTGGTTCTCTGTCAACTTTTTCCCCTCGCTCCTCATCTCCTCTTGGCATCACCTCCTCTTCCGTCTCCATGTTACCCTCGCACTGACGACCAAATAACTCAGTGCTTCCGATTTGGGTTCCACTCGAGAGAGAGACACCGTGGGGTGTGATGTCACTCACTTGATGGTTTGTTTTCTCAGAGTATGGCTACAATCCATCTCAATTTCTTCGATCATTGCCAGAGATCCCTGCCTGTTGCTCATCTTTTCTGGCCATCCATCTGATCTTGAGAGAGTGAAGTATTGAGCGAAGGAAGCCGCTGATGGTATGTAGTTTGTTTGAAGTGGCCTTCGTGACGCCCGAAGTTTATGATCTGTATAGTAGCACTGACTTCCCATTTGAGATGGAAATCCGGATCTTATTTTTCATGCTGAGTGCTATTCATCTCCACACAGACTTGATGAGAGCAATGAAAGCGTGCCTTGCTCTCTCGATCCTCGCCTTCATATTCTCAACAGTTGAGTCCTCCTGTAGTTGAAACGATGCTTCCCAGGTAGGTTAGTAGGTAGGTAAATGAGGTTACTTCTTTCAGACTTCCCCCATCTATGCTGATTGTTGTCCGTTGTTGTCGCTGCAGCTGTTACTCCTCTATGTTCAACTGAAGTGAAGCCCTATCTTCTCTGGATGCTTCTTCTGCTAATTTGTTGCCTTTCACTTGCATATCTTTCAGTTTGTGTGAAATCAGACATATATCATCGGCGAAGTCCAGATCCTCCAAATTCTTTTTTGTGTGGGTCCATTTAATGCCTGTCTCCTCGTTGCCCACTGTGTGTCTGTCGCATTATCCAGTCTACCGTTATAACGAAAATCATTGAAGATAGTAGGCAGTCAGATAGCCTTGTCTTACACCCATCTTCATTTCGAAAGATTCCATGAATTTCCTGATGTGGATTATTTCGCATGCAGCAGAAAGAATTTATCAGCAAGAAACTCGGGGAGTAAAAGAAAATCATAAATCATCTTAGGTTGGACCACGGATTGATATACAATTAGAGAACCATTGAAAATCATCCACAGGGAGTACTACCAGACAACTGTTTTATCAGCCTAGTCTAAGAATCATCGGTAGCACGCAATCACCACGGCGGGGTTCGAACCCAGGAACTTCTGGTTACAAGGTAAGCTCACATACTATTCAGCTACTCTTTTCGTCATTCTCTGGTTTTACCCTCTTTTTTTTCTATTTTTCTATTATCTTTGATAAATTCTTTTGGGTAGTTGTTGTCCAGTAACAATTTGAATAAGAGGTTTATTTCTTTTCTCTGAAACTTTATGAATCTATGACTGTATTTTCGTATTTATCGGTCACCAAAACTTTGAGTAGATTGTACACACCTGTTGATGAATAGTAATCCTATCAGCCAATTTTTCTGACTAATAACCATATCAATTGAACAATTTATTTAGATTTTTAGAAGTTGTGTTCAAAATTCAACCTCTGCTGAGAACCAGTCTATTTGAACTGTCTTCATATTCCATTCAGTATTTTTTGTAAAAATTCAACTCTACTTAAATCAATTTGAAAATATTCAAGATAGAACCCCGGTGGGTGCGCACTGTTGAAGAGCCAGTCGACCTCAAGCACTAGGACGAAACAGCTGTCTGGCAGTAATCCGTGGCTGGCTTTCAATGGTTCTGTGATTGATGTCAGCTCATGATGAAATCCTGCTACCAAACAAATCAAACAAAATTCTTATATTACCAACACTTGATAATTGATCTGATGTTCACTAGCTTCTCATCCTGTTCAGGAAGTTACCTGGTGTTCTAGTGAGAAGCCATGACCAGTATGGCATAGCAATTTGAATATGAGGACAGTTACTCATCGAAGAAGTCTTTGCGAAGTGGTGGCTCTATGTCATGCGTGAACTGGCATAAGTTAGAATTCATGCGCTGGCTGGTCATTGAATTGGGTCGGGTGCCAGTGATTTGCTGCGTAATGCTCTACGAGCTAGCTGGCCCTTGGGTGCGAAGGTGCTGGGGTGGGTGCGTACTACTGACGAGCCATGAAGCCCAAGCACTAGGATGGAGGAAACATCTGTGTGGCATTCCTCCCTGTGGCTGGTTTTCCAATGGTGGTCCTCTAACCATTAACCGATATCACTTGGAGAGCAAAAGAATAGAATGGAAGTAATAATGGCAATACGAAGATGTCAGAGCCGGCCACTCAGAATCGAAAAGACAACATACACACTCCTTCATCAAACTGAAACCAGTTTCGAAATCTTCCGCTATCAGTCAGCATGAGGAACAAGATTCGAACTTTCAACAACAATGTGAAGTCAGTCAGTGCTTCTATACGGGTCAGAAAATTTCACTGCATGTGCGTCACGAAAAGGATTTCCAACAGCTTGTTGCAGACGTTCATCAACAGCTGCCACCTTCGCTGGTTGCCTACATACTGACGATCAAATAGCCAGCTGGAGAGAAAGACTAAGTAACAAGAAACTATGCAGTGGAACAAACCTACAAGCAAGAGACAATCGCTCAACAAATATGTAGGGGGAAATGGAGATGGATGGATCGGGCATACACATTGAGGAGGTCACCAAATGACATCGCACGCCAGGCATAACCTCGAGTGGAATCCAAGTGGGAAGCAACGGACGAGTGGGTCGTCGGTGCTATTATGACATGGAGGAGATCATGTGAGTTGGAGGAAGAGATGAGAGGGTTTGGTCAATCGTTGAGCTAACCAGCTGATGAGGACTGTAGAAAACAGAACGAAGTGGAGATGTGATGTCGAAGGTAGCCCTGTGTTCTACTTGGAACCCAAAGGAATAATAATAACAATAATGGCGATAATCATGATGATTATAATAGTCTCAAACTTACCATCTCGATCCGGTCTAGTGTGTTCATGCCAAAATCCAATTACATGACCAAGTTCATGGATTACAATTCCTTTCTTATCACAATTTTTACCAATCGATATAGCCTGAGGTTCATCTTCACTACGTCTTCCTACATATGAACAGCAACTGATGATTGTAAAGAAAGAAAATCAAAAATTCCATCAAAATCACAATATTTGAGTATCGTTCAGATTAAGTAAAAATTATTTTATTTTAGTAATACTTAAAACAAAATCATCTCTCAGATTTCCAGTTAGAGGATCATTGAAAACCAGCCACAAGGAGTATTCTCAGACAGCTGTTTCATCAGATTAGTTTGGGATTAGCGCTTCAAGAGTACGTACCCACCACATGAGTTAGAAGCCAGGACCTTCTGGTTACAAGGCAAGCTCCTTTATTATTCAGCGCCACCCTATTGCATGGCCAGCCAGTGAATGAATTCTAACTTCTATCAATTCGTGATACATTTAGCGCGACAAACAATGTCATCGGTGGGAACTCCATCCTCACTCCCGACCGGAAGGTCCTGGGCTCAAAATACCAGTGGGTGCACACTGCCGACGATCCCCATACTACCGGAAGAAATAGCTGTCCAGTACTCTAGGCTGGTTTTTAATGGTTCTGCAACTGATATCAATCTTTGGCCAAATCTGAAGCAGACAGAAACAATACAAACTAATTCCTGAAAACATATCTCAGAGGTTGATTTGAAGGGAATTCATTACTCTCAAGATGGATCACAAAATCGCTGAAGGTTTTGGGTTAGATCCTTGATGAGATCATGCGTGGATAGTACTGAAGAGATGATATTATATGGTTGGGGGCCATCGACAGGAAGCCTTGGGCCTATGTTGACCTGTCGATTGCCTCCAGCTATCATCTAATATCAACAATACAAAGTGCACCGTGATGGTGATCCACAATCTATCATGTTGGCTTTTTTCTATAATCCGCATATACTACTAACTATTATTAAGTATCTTGACTCTGGCTCGGTGGGTACTGATGAAGAGTCCAAAATTAGGACGAAACACCTCTGTCCCCCACTCTCTGATTTACCATTGAATTCTATAACTTATATCAGTTCGTAATCTAAGTGCCAAAAAACCCACTCTTTAAAATTCAGAGTTTGGTCAATCGTTCAGTTAGCCAGCTGAAGAGGATGGCAAAGTTTGTTGTTGAAGCCAGCTCTATGTTCCACTCACAACCAAAGGGAATAATAATATAATATAATATAACAAAATACTTCCCGCTTCCAGGATACCTTACTTACCCACATGCCTTTTCTGTGAAAATTATGTAGGATCTGTGTTGTGGTTGGCGTTCAACAAAACTAAGACAAGTGTAGTTTTCCCAGTGACGCATTGCTTTCATTATTGTAGCCTTTGTTTCACCTAAACCAGTAAAAAGTGAGTAAAATTAGGGATGCTTTGACAGATTGCTTTGTAGAAACTGAAAAAAACATCCAAAAAAACATTTTGTTTACTGAAAAAGGTTTTTAAGTAGTTTGTAATATATTAAAAAATGTACGACAGCATTCATATATATTTCCCGAAAGAAATGATCGGACTAAAGTGCTCGGTTTCACGTTGACATGTCGGCTCCTTATGCAGATGCTTCGATAATGTCTGTAACTTAAAGTCAGTTGATCGATGGTGACTAGGATAACGCGCATTTCGTCTTAATTGCGACTCGTCAAGTGGATCTACTCGCATTCCCCAGTGAGTCATTAACGGTGTTTTCCCCCACCAAGGCCCGAACTCAGTATCCATAGTTTCAAACACCAGCCAAAGTGTTATCCATTAGACCAAGTGAACCGAGGGAGACACTTCTTGCACAGCGATTCTTATTAATTATTAAATTCAATTTTAGATTTTCCCACATTAATGTTCAACTAGGTCAGAAGAGAATGAATTGTTCCGATTGACTGGCAATTGGCCTAAGGCTAAAGAAACTGTCTAATGAGGTTGTTTCATGTTTACGACGTAAACTAAATCCAGATTTGGAGACTAAAACTGATTGAAAACAAATTTATTGGGATCGATGGGGAACTTCTTCTGTATTTCGACGGATTTGAGGTTTCTGTTCAAGTCTGATTTGACATTCTCAGCTCGTTGACTCTGCACCAAGCTAACATATTCATTGAACGATTCTCTTTCACTTGATGATAATTCGCAAAGTGGAGAAGACCTCTGTGATATATTTGTCTGCAAATCGAATATACGCAAACTAATGGAATCACTAGGGTTTCTAGTGTGACGTTGGGTAGTTTTGGAATTAGGATGAATATGATGCCTTTGGAGTGGCTTCCAGAACCACTTCGGATATCGATGATTTTTAATGCAGTTTTCAAAGAACTCCAATTTTGCATTCACTTGTTCAAGTTTTATAGAGTAACTCAGAAACCCACTGAGTTCCTTCAAATCGTGGAAAATACACTCATGATGGGTATCATATTTATCCAGATTCCAAAACTCTCCAACATCATACCAGAAACCTTATTGATTCTATTAGTTCGAGAAAATATTCGCGTATATTTTGGTGTAGAGCAGGCGAGCTGTGAATATCAAATCATATTTGAACAGGAGCTTCAAATCCATCAAAGTACAAAAGAAGTTCTCCACTGATACCAATAAATTTGTTTACAATCACTCCTCCGTCAGCTTGTCGACGTTACAGATAGAAGCCCCTATCCTTAATGTTGAAATTTTGTGACATAAATCTATACAGTAGCAGACTGGCCTGAATGGTGGGTCCATTTTACCAGAAAACGAGTGTGCCATAATTTAAAAAAAATCATCTTTACTGAAGGTTATTCATTATATCGACATACATTAAAAATAAACAAATTACTTGAAAAATTCGCCTGTATAATATAGGGTATAACGCCATTGGGCCATGTTCTTGAGACATACGCTGTAGCAGCTCTTTTTGAACGTCTTCTGCCTTGATAAGATCTACTAGTATTGATTTGTTCTGGAGTTAGATTTAACTTGTTAGGCTTTTGGGATGAATATGTTTGATTTAGTTGGATAAATGCTTCCGTTTTCGCCAGAAGTCGACGATATTTTTGCCGTCTGAGTTGTTCTTCCCTGTTTCGCTGTCTTCTTCTTTTTCTTCGAGTTCTTCTCTCATCATTTACATCTTTGAACTTTTTAAGTTGAATATTACGTAAGTTGGTGTTATTTTGCTGATTCAAGTTTTGTTTTCGACTGTTTGGATTGGTCGCAACGTGTATACTGTAATACAGAAGACAAGACAATAAATTCATTACGAGAGAAGAAGAAGAATTAGACAATAACAAAATCCCATTCTTAGGTATGTTTGTCTTAATCAAGAGAACCATTACAGGAAATTTAAAAACACAAGTATATAGAAAATAAACGCACACGCAAACATACAGACCGAATACTCAACTATAGTAGTAATACTAATTGTTATTACTCCCTTGGGTTCAGAGTGGAACATAGCGCTGGTTTCAACAACCCATCTCCACTTTGTTCTGTATTCTACGGTACTCTTCAGCTGGCTAGCTCAACGATTGACCAAACCCTCTCATCTCTTCCTCCAACTCACATGATCTCCTCCATGTCACAATAGCACCGATGACCCACTCGTCCGTTGCTTCCCACTTGGATTCCACTCGAGGTTATGCCTGGCGTGCGATGTCATTTGACGACCTCCTTAATGTGTATGCCCGATCCATCCATCTCCATCGGCTCTTGCTTGTAGGTTTGTTTCACTGCATAGTTTCTTGTTGCTTATTCTTTCTCTCCAGCTGGCTATTTGATCGTCAGTATGCAGGCAACCAGCGAAGGTGACAGCTGTTGATGAACGTCTGCAACAAGCTGTTGGAAATCTTTTTCGTGACGCACATGCAGTGAAATTTTCTGACCCGTATAGAAGCACTGACTGACTTCACATTGTTGTTGAAAGTTCGAATCTTGTTCCTCATGCTGACTGATAGCGGAAGATTTCGAAACTGGTTTCAGTTTGACGAAGAAGTGTGTATGTTGCCTTTACGATTCTGAGTGGCTGACTTTGGCGTCCTCGTCCATTCTGCCTGTAGTTGAAGTAATGCTTCTCAGATAAGTGAAAGAGGTGACCTCTGCTAAATCTCTCCTGTCAGTGGTGCTCGCTGCTGGTTGTTGTCGTTGTTGCTTTTGGTGGTGGTTGGTTATCGTTATCACCTCCGTCTACTGTGTGTTCACCTGCAGTCCTGTCTTCACTGTCTGTCTTACCTCTTCAGCCAGTTTGTTGGTTTTCGCTTGCAAGTCCTCTTGTGTTTGCGTGACATTAGACATATATCATCTGCAAAATGCAGATCTCGTAGAGTCTGTTTATTGTCCGTCGAGCGTATTTCTGGAACTGAACCTAATAACTCGCAAACAAAACTGTGTGCAGACATTGTTTAAAAGTGTTCAAACACACTGTTTTACTACTCCGGTGTTGAAGAAAATGGAGGAATAAAACCTACTAACCGGCTTCAAAACGTCGCCTAGTTAACTAGCTTGCTAATTTTTCAGCCGGTCTCAACCCCGGGTAAAGAGGGAAGGTTGGGCGTGAGAATAACAACTGCACAACACAAAATCAATCAAACTGCTACGGAAACTTCAACGCACAATAAAAATATACTAAAAATGCAAAATATGCAAAGAACGATTTTATTCTTCGCGAAATGACTGAGCGTGACGTTTGGCGAAAGCCTTCGGGAAGTCAGTCAGTCAGTCGATGTTTTTTCTATCGATGAAAGCAAGAGTAGAGAGTGGGGACGTGGAATGTCCGTACAAGGTACGAGACTGGGAAGCCAGTCCAAGTAGCTAACGAAATGCGAAGATACGGCATAGAAGTGCTGGGTATCTGAGAAAGCAGGTGGAACGGATGTGGATTATCGGAATTGTCAACTGCAGAGTCAGTAATCTATTCAGGCCACCCAGACGACGACCACGAGCACACAGAGGCAGTGGGTGGCTATAATGATATCATCAGCGCCAACCAGATCCATGATGCAGTGGGAAGCATCCATGACAGCAAGATTCAACTCAAAAGGAGGGATGGAAGGTCACAACCATCCAATACTACGCACAGTGCTGTAAACAACGCGGAGCGAGAGAAGAAGGAAGATTTCTACAGAGAACTGCAAACGGTAATGGACAACATCCCAAATGGTGTTATTGAAATCTTCATGTGCGATTTGAATGTCAGCCGAACTTGGAGCAGATAATACAGGAAGAATATTGTTGAAGCCCTACGTTCCATTTAGAACTCAGGGGAATAATAATAGTGTAATGATAACTGGCTTCAAAAAGAATGGATATCCTCATGATTTCATCATAGTGTTTAAACTCCAATCACAACACCATCGTCAGGAAACCATCGTCAAAGGCTACAAGAAAATTCATTCTACCATATATAAGAGAAAATATCTCTGGAATAACAGACAGATAGATAGACAGATACAGAACATAAGCCATCCAGTCAGCCAGCCAGATATCGTGCAAACCGAAAGAGTCATCCAACAGAAAAAGAAGATAAAATTAATACCATTTACAAAATAAATTGCATGTATGAACTGTAACAGACATTACACCGGTCAAAGTGAGCGTCCCCTTCAAATTCGAATTGAAGAAGACAAATTGACTGTAAAATGACATGATATATATATATATATATTCCTGTTTCATATCAATGCGTGTAGATAATAATGGACACCAGTTTAGTAATTGGGGTAATGTTGAAATTTTAAATAGAGGAAACACCAAAAATACTGCGAGAATATTCCTAGAAGCCTGTCTGGTATTCAAACGAATCAGCGATCAACAAATGTATTAATACAGACGAAATTTACCAACTAATAAAAAATCAATCATGTGACGAGAAAGTCAATAAAAAATGATCATTACAGATGTAAATCGACTACTAGTCACGAAGTTGGTTGCCATGCGAGACATAATTGTATCATCATTCATGAAGGAGGAATTAAAATGAGTTCACTTTATGCTAAAACTTGCGCTGAAAGGGGATGTTGTCCAGAAGATGGGACGATGAAAGCTTCGCAATTAAAGAGGCAACCAGTTCGTCAGAGAACACAACTGATCCCAAATAATTTTGTATAACTCTTTTGCTTTCTTTCATATCTCTGTGTCTGTGTGGCAAGGATGAACCCTTTCATACCATTACATATTAGAATATAAAACTGGAAAATAAAATGAAGATCAATGGAATTTGATCTAGATCAGATATGTCGGCTATGAAGAAAGAACTTGGTTGGTGCGTTGGTGACATAGCGTTAGAATGCTAGCCAACCACGGCCTAATGTGGTTCGGCGTTCCATCTTCGGCAACCGGTGCATTCCTCGCTACCTCACTAAGCCAGTAATAAGACTGGTAAAGTAGGAAGGTTGGAGGCATGAGGCTTGCAACCTCATCAATTAAAAATATGCACCACTTCTACTGAAACTTCAAGCCCAATGTTCAAGTGGGACGTAAAGGAATAAAAAAATAATTTTGGCAAAAATATTCATTCAGACATCTAGGAGAAACAAAATATTGAGCAAAGAATATCCTTTTTGATAATTTACTCCCGTTCCAGCTCTATAGTTATATCTATATATGGTTATATTCACAGAATATTCTAGAATAGTCTCATCAACACCAATGTTGGTGTACTTTCTAAATACTATCGATTTGTTAAGTAAGATCACAATGGAATTACAGACAGTTCACTAACGATGCATAAATTACAATAAGTAGCATAAAAATATAGTAGAAAATAGAATGTCAAATCAAATTAAGGAAATTTCCACAATAAGTTCAGGATCATTGGCAACTTGATTGAAGGCTAAGGTAAAGACAGTGTCTGAACCAACCAACTTCTTTTGGATACATACATAAGTTAGGTTTTTTAATGTGGGTCCCAACAACCAGCCTCAGTAGTGTGTAGTAGATAGGAAACACGCCTAATTGTGCGGCCTATTCAACTGTCTGGCTGCATAGGAGCAGTTAAATTGGTAGATACACATGGAAGAGGCCAAATTCGGCAGTTTATCTTTTACTCTCAAAGGCAATATAGGGGTGAGTGGTTCTGAAGTCACAGCATACATCAGTAGCAGCAGCACTGAATGCTCTTTTTACCACCGTATTCCTAAGGCTTTGTGTTAATAACTCGCTGTTGTTATCGTCGAGTAAAAATAATTAATTGACAGTTATTTCACTGTTTTCAATGGCTAAACTTAAATGATTGTTATGAATATGAACATAGAGAATAAAGTCAACTTGAACAATTTTAATATGATCTGATTGTCACTAGCCATTGGCCGTGATCAAACCTCGATGAAATCAATTCAGATTGTTAGTATTTCTACTCAGATAAATACTAGAGGATTATTTGGAAAAAGACGTGTGTAGCTACAAACGTTTTTTATTTCATTGGTTGGAAGATTTCATCATGAGGTGACATCAGTCTAAGAACCATTGGGAAACCCTGAACAGAAGAGTACAACAGGTTGAAGGTGAGGACAGTTACTCATCGAATAAGCGATTGCGAAGTGACCGCGCCATATCGTGCATGAATTGGCAGAAGCTGGAATTCATGCACTGGCAATTAAATCAGGTCCTAGTGGGCGGTTGAATAGTATACAAGCTGACGTTGTGACCGAAGGTCCTGGATTTCAAGCCCTTATGGTGAGTGCGTACTCACGATGATTCCCAAACTAAGGTGACGAAAAGCTGTCTTACAGTACTCCATGTGGCTGGTTTTCCAGTTATGGTTCTCTAATCACCAAATGATCTCAGTGCTCATGATGAAATCCTCCAATCATCCAGACAAACAAAATCTCTAAAACAAAACCAACACATGAAAGTTTTTCTTTATTTCCCTCTCATAGAACATTTATCAGTTTAAACAAGGAATGAATGTGTGTTGTGTTTTTTGCTGTTCTTCTACTCCTTCGAAATATGCGCAATAAATAATAAACAAATAGGAAAGTCAAACAATATTTAGTTAGCTTTAAATGTCATTTTAATAAAATGCTTTCCTAACCGGTCAGGAGATAGATAAATAGATAGATAGGTAGATAGATGGTCAACCAACATAAATTCCTTCATTACAGCCTAAGCAATACAATAAAAGAGAGAGTGGACCGAATCACAGCTTGTTCACACTGAAGATGCCCAACCAATAGGCATATTACATTGACTATCTTAAGGCGCATTCACATCACAAGGGATTTTTATTAGAT